TCATCATTAAAATCATCATATGTTTCAAGCTGGCTGTGCAATTTGTAAGGGCTAATAAGTTCCAACTTGCTTGAAACAAGTAATCTAATGAATAGAAGAATAAAGCCATACCCATTCACTGGTCTCAAACGCTTTACTCCATTACTAGGCTTTGGAGCAATGGAGCTGCACAGACCCTTTTTCTTCAGTTTTTCCTCAAGGGAAGCTCTAACTTTTAGCATCTCCAAGCTCTGTGCGCCAATGTGATCCTTCTGCCATGTTAAGGTTGATTTCAGTCAAATTAATAACCTTTTAAACCAACAAAATAAATCAAATAAAAAGGTAAAATTGGGAATATCACTTATTCCGTTAAAAATAGAAACAAATTAATAGCACAAAATACCATATGGCATGATCCATAATTCACCTGAGGTTTAACCTTTCGTGTTTTCTGCACATCATCCTTTGAGGATTCCAATTTTTGCATACCAACTTGATTGTTAGGCTGCAGCAGTACATAAAAAAAAAAAAAGTTGACCGTTTAGAACATTTTTTAAGGTTACCATTTGGAAGACAGATAACAATAAAAAGCCACGATTAATAAGTGATGACTACCACTGTTTCTTCTTTTGATTTGGCAGAGACAAGAGGCTGCTCTTGGTTTTTAACGATAGAACCAGTTGTCGTTGGAGAATTCTCCTTGCCTGACTTCAATACTGTTTCCAACCCATTATTTCTTTTAAGAATGTCCTCAAGTTCAACTGGAAGTTTTGTGTCTAGTTGTTTTATCTGTTGAAAGGGTCACACATTAGAATTGTAAAATCTACGAAACAAACTTCATATCACATTTCATATTTGTGGGCAATTGCACATCAATGTGTAAATGTCAGCAGATAACTATGCAAAGTTGATGACATCATGTTAGAAAATCCATTCATTAATCTAGCACGAATTATACCAGTTTGTCATTGTGTAAGCAGGGCTACCAATATAGGGTGTATGCAATATAATAAATTATCCAATATAAGCTAATATAATTCCAATAAATTTAGTTCAAACATTGATTATCTAATGAAACAGGACTAATGAAGTAATGTCATTGTCACATGTTTACACACTTACATATAATACTTTCAGGTTACTGCACTAAAAGACAGTATACAAAAAATCTCAGGCGTGAATCAGTGATATTTTGGCTCTCTAAGCAGCAGAAGCTCTTTATATCACTATGCCAATCATAATCATATGACAAGTAATTTTGGAAAGTAGATCCTTACAGTCACAGATGTTAGCTAGTTTGAAAATAACAAGACCTGGTCAGATAATTTCTTGATCTCTTCCAGGCGAGCTGTTATGGGATGATCATGGACAGGCTGCCCTTCAGATTTGAGGAGAAGGTAGAACGTTATGGCTTGGCAATAGGACAGCAAAACAAGTTGCTTCAACTCAAAATAACGCACTTCTCCTTTCATAACTATTTTCCCCGTTTTAACCTGCAAAAAATGATAAAAATAATTGTAATGCAATACACTGTTCATGCAGAGGTAATTAACACATAAAACAAGGGTATATATAGACCACAGATTTTATATTAACTCCATACAAGAGGCAGATTTAAAAGCATTTACATTATAAAGTCACAGCATTATAACTCCTCTGAAAGGTCCAATATCTCAGTAGAAGGAATAAAATAAAAATACCCATGGCTAAAAGAGAAAAAAAAAAAACGAAAGGAATGAATGACTTAGGCTATCACAGGAAAGCCTCCCTAGATATATTATTGAAAGATATAAGTTGACTGACTCTTCTATATAAATAAGTATTTTTATATTTATACAGGTCAAACTCTTTTTACATGCTTTGCATTGCCATGAATAATAAAAAAAAAAAGACAAGCCAGAAGAGCAAAAACCTTGTTTAAAAATGGGTTAATTTCACATTCAAGTTGTCTGTGTGCCTCATTTAGTTCAGACAACCAACTAATTAATTCTGGAGCAGACCTGGAAGGAGAAGATAGTCACTAGTCAAGAAGAACCATAGCAAAATTATAACAAGGACATATATGATTTAATACAAATATATCTGAAAATCTGATACTGTTTTAATCCTAGTAGTGAATATGGAAGAAAATAAGTTAAAGCAAATATGCTGAAAGATATGGACAACATACTAACCTATATAAAACATTCATTTGCTCCTCCTTTGACAAAGCATTCAGTTCATCAATACTGAAAGTTATATCTCTATCCAGTGACTTTATTGTTTCGGTTCCTCTATCTGAATCCTGTACAGATATAGACATTCACTTGAAGTTTATTAACAAATCTGAGATACCATATTCCTACACCTCATACTAATATGCCTTCACCAAATGTTGAATTTCCCTTTTTCCTTCCTCCATTATGTTTTTCATCTAGTAATATGGAAATTGACCACAAAAACAACGAGATAATCAGCAGCACTCACCTTCAAAGTTAACTTTTCATTATCTTTGTCTTCACTTATATCCACAAGGTCATAGTCTTCCATTGTTAAGGATTTTGCCTTCTCCCGTTGTATTTGTAATGCCAATTCCTCCTCTTCTTTTGGGGCCTCATCATCACTTGATTGTAGCTTAAACCAAAATTTTATAATTACTCAACAGAAACAATAAAATGCATAAGGAAACAAACATTTCATATGTTAATCTAAAGATCCACCAGAAGAGCATCTACATATAGATAGTTTAATTGCTACATGTGGAAACATTTTTGTTACATGCATTGCTCAAATTCTCACCTCAAAATTACGATTCTCAGCACCATGTGAAAACTTTTTCCCACCCAAAGTAAGTTTATAATCTTCCTCATCTTCATCATCGTCAGCATCATGCATTTCATCATCACCTCCCCCAAACTTTGAACGTAAATACTTCCTTTGCCTAATCACTACGCACAAAATACATATTGATTCAGTGAGATTACAAAGCAACAACTATCTCATTAGGTGAAGTTAACTACAGGATCACGCAACCTCATTAGGTGTGATTAGAACCAAAGCTTCAGAGGTATAATTAAACTTTCTTGAGATTATACCATTTAGTGAAATTACTCCTCTAGAATAAACTATACTTCAAAATTTTGCAAAAGTAACCAAGGGACTTAGCAAGAAATCTTTTTTAAAGCTAAGAACTAAAAATACATTCTTAATAACCAACAATTTCAACAAACACAGCCAAAATGCAGAATGTCCAACATGAATTAACTAAAGCTGAGCACCAACATGAGTACATATTGGTGTCTTTTGTTTTTATAAATTATCTACAACTATTCATGTACAAATTTCCTCTGATTTTGGTTTATTGATTTAAGAATAAATTAAGGTGCCTGTGCAAATAAATGTAAACGTAATGGACTTTTTTCCAATCCATCACATGATGCATTGAATGTGCAAACACACTAACTAACCATTAGATTTGATAAAGAAAGATTCATTAAAAGCTGTGGTCTGTAAATCAATATATACGAACAAATAGAAGAATTGTAAATTAGTAATTTTCCAGTTTCAATTTCAAAAACAAGTTAGAGAGTAATAATCTTGAATTATTTAAGTTCAATTTCAAAAAGCTGGATAGCCTTTGCATTCATTGAAGGTCGTAACAAATTGTCCCATTTATACCCATACTTTCAGTAAAGTTAGAAAAGAATACAGAAAAGGCGTGCATAGTGATTTGATATCATGATGGTCCAACAGCTACAGCACTGATATATTTGCATAAAAATTGTAGAAGTACTATGTCTCTACCAGGAACCCCATTATCCATCTCTATCTTATTTAATTGAGTACTTTGAAAATTCAGATATATGCATGTATGTGTGTGTGGATGTGCGTGTATATATATTTATAAGCACAAAACATATCATACTCTTTGCCAAATCGTCATTCCCTTCATCATCATCATTATCATCATCTTCATCCTCCTCCTCATCTTCATCAACATCCTTTGACCATTGTTTGAAAGAAAGGAAATGAGACAAAATATACAAATGAAATACAAATTGTCATCTACAGTCCTGTTCTAGTTGTTAAGGAAACAGATTACACATAGAAATTAGGTATGTCATGTTTCATAGAGTTGAAAAAAAAAAAAGAAGCTTCGTACAAATTTAAAAAATAAAGAAAAATAAGCTTGTGGTAACCAAAACCTTAACATCGAAAATTGGGAGCTCCTCATCTTCATCCAATTCTTCAGCACCATCATTTATGTCAAGGGGGACAATGTCCCTCTGCTTATGAACTACAAGATCAAATCATCAGACAAGTGAGTAACACAAGCATGCCAAACTCATAAAAAATAGAAGAATGGCAAGTCAAAGTGATGGTCACATTAAATGAAGTAATAAAAAAGGTATTACTTCTAGATAAAAATGAACAAAAATGAACAAAATGAAGTTACATGTATCAATCTCATCATCCATGTCATCACTGGAATAAGCATCACGCATGTATTTAGAGCTTGTTTTAGAGTTTTTGACATCTTTCTTCTGATAACTTCTACCTCCTCTCTTCCCCATCCTATGTGTGCTGTTCTTCACCACCAACTGGAGAAAACATAGATTACAACAGAAAGAAGAGCGTAAAATTTCCTCTTAGGAAAGTGCAAAGAAAGAAAAGATAAAGAAAGTTGTATACAATAAGAATCTTAAATTCCATTGCAGATTTGATTCCAATACTAAAACACATAGAGTTACAAACAAGGATAATGCACCGTTCTTAATTTCTCTTTACAAGCAACTAACACAATAATTTTATTTTTCTAATTTCAGTGACTGTTTTTACTAGCTTAATCTATATAATGATGTTTATCTACAAGTTATTTTCTAAACCGAAACCAAAGTATTTGGCAGCACAAAGCTCAAACTTTTTAAACTCGCGTAGGTCCAAAATTCAAAACCCATTAACACAATAAGGCTCATTTGATGAAAAAAACGGGGTAGGAGTAAATATTGAAAGATAAACAGAGAGTGACTGTTAGCAATAAAATGTGGAGGGTACCTTGACAATAGTCACGAGTGAGTGAGGTCAACTTGTAAGAGGCGCAGTTCAAAACGCCAATGGTGTCGAGAGGTGCACGGAAACGGCGAAGGTGTTGGGAAGAGGACTGCAGCAGCTGCGGCAATAGAGAGAATGGTGTGGTGTGGATTGAGAGCACGGTATGAAGGACACAGCACTACAACAGCGGCGGCCACAGAATGGTGGGAATGGACTCTGAGAGCGCGGTATGAGAAAGGGTTTAGGCTAGATTAGCTAAAGAATAAAGGGATGCAAAGAGGAAAATTTTATTTAGGGTAAAAATATGTTTTCGATTTTTATAAAGTTTTAAATATATTAAATATGCTTTTTTTAAATTATATTATTTTAATTTTTTTAATGTGTTTTATATTTAAAAGTATTTTTTATTAAATATACGAGTAAAAATCCTAGTGTCTACATTTTTTTATAAATATTTTTTTAAAATATATTTTTATTTTTTATTTTTTTTGAATATATCTATTTTTTATTTTCTATAAATATATAATTAATAATAACTATTTTTAATATTACAATATTTTTTATTTTTCTCTTTCTAATAATACTGGTTATAAAATAAATTTCTATATATAATTATAGATAATTAATATTATCTTATATCTTTATCTAAATTTTCTATCTATCATTATTGTTAATAATAATGATAATATGATTTTCTTAAACCTATTTAATATTTTCAAAATTTTGTTTAAACCTAATAGATATATTTTCTACGTTTTTATTATTTATTATAAAAAAAAGATTTTAAGTATTCAATTTTGTTTCATAATACTTCAAAAATAGGTATTTAAGTTTTGTTTTTAATTTATTATCTAATTTATAATGGATCCAATAATGATAATTCCGGTTAATTAAGTTTTATTTAACTGGAACAATTTTTATAACATAATCATATCTGTCACATTCATTATTTAAATTTTTTAAATTAAAATATTTATTTAAAATAATTTAGGGTCAATAAAGTATAAAATGTATTAAAAATAAAGTACATCTTCAAAATTTTACTTAAAAAAAGGTAATCAATTGCAACCTCATCACAATCATGAAAAATGGAATGATAAGTGAGAATGAGACTACAAATTTATTAATTTTTCAAATATATGAACCAAAATAAGCAATAAAAAAAAATCTACGAACCAAAGTTATACATTTTCAAATGTTTCAACTAACAACATGTAATTACTAGGTAATTACTAATACCAAAATTACCTGCACAGTAAAGCAGCGTGGAATATAAAACATTCGATCCAGATTTATTTATTTTTAATAGAAATAGTTAAATTATTTTAGATAAAAGGTGTGTCATATCTTTCTAAAAATTTAAATATATTAAATATGTTTTCCAAAAAAAAAATTGCATTTTTCTATCTTCTAAAATTTGAACATGTTTATTAAATCTTATTTAAATATGTTTACATTTTAGAATAATAAATTTAAGTAGGAAAAATATAATGTGAAAAAATTATTTTCATATTATTTAATATTTTAATTTTTTTTCAAAAAATAAATAAGTTTTCTATCCAATTATTTTTCAATCCTTTATTATTTATAAAATTCAATTTTGTTTCTTTAGTTTGAAAAACTCATTTATAATTTATTTAATTTTATAACGTATTTTTATAATTTATTCTTTTTTATTTACGAATATGAGTTTGTCAATTATAATAATTAAAAAAAATTGACTATATAATTGTCTGTTTATAATTCAATTCGTAAACTTTAAAATAAAATATAATCTTGATTCATCTCAACAATTGTAGTGTTTCATTTTTTTCCTAATTGATAAATTTAATCATTAGTTTTATAACTTATCAATATATCTTTAATATTTGTTTTAAATAATGAAGTATGAGATTCACCTAATTATGTTATAATTCTATTTAATCACAATTAATTTTAAATTAAATTAAAAAATAATTAAAGTTAAATTTTATCACTAATAATAACCTAAAATTACTAAATAATAACACATTAAATGAATTTAAACATTGAAACTGAATAAAAACTCAAAGAAATCAAAAGTGGATGGGGGACTATATAAAAATTTATAGATAATTATCAATCTAAATATTTAAAAAAATATATAAATTATGTGGATCAATCCACCCTTATGGTTTTGCCCATGTCATTTCAATTTTTGTATGACCTTGCGGGATTACTTGTATGGCACTCACGTCATCACTTATAGAGTATATCTGATGGGGAGGTGTTAAAAAAAGAAGTAAAGATGAATATTTTACTATTAATTTTATATATAAGTTATTATTTTAAATTGAATTTTTTTTTGTTTAGAATTAAAATAAAATGATTTATATAAATAACTTCTTTTATCACAATTTAAACAAACTTGTACGTTATATCTATAATAACATATTTAATTTTATTCTTAAATCATTTTTATTAAAAACTCTATGGATTAAGTTATTTTTAATGTGATAGTTTCTGTTAAATTATCCTTAATCTTATTTACACCAATTTCAAAAAATAATCAAACTGACAATAATTTAAAATTAAGAAACTCGATTATAATTTTAAGAACAAATTTAAATAAATCATATAAATATAAAGACGAAAGAAATAATTTAGCCTATTAATAAAAAGGTTGTAATGGTTTTTTTTATTATTTTAATAATTATTGAGTCAATCGATCTATAATCAATCACTTAATGAATATTTATTTAAATAACTTGTGATCACGTATCTTACTTTCCCTTGTAGGATTATGCATAACTAACACATGCCAAGGCTATATATTTTAGCCCTTATTAATCTTAGTATGAAGAAAAGAAAAGGTTATACTATATCATACATTAGGGTACGATTAATATTATTATGTTATCACTAAAAAAAAAATGAAAAAAAAACGATGATTGAATTGCGTTTTAACAAAATTTTAAAACTTTTTAAAAAATATGTACCACACAAATTATTTTTTAACATATGTAAAGAGATAGATCAATTTAGAGTTTGACTATAAATTATAAAGCTTAAAAAGAGAGTGCAAAAAGCAATAATGGGCCTCCTCATTTCTTAGCCCAGCCCAGGCCGAATTGATATTTTTGTTCTCCGTTCAGACAAATCAACAACTCAAGTTTCATTCCCTTCTATTTCGCTGGCAGCCTCTCTCCCTCCGTATGACGTGCCTTGCTTCAACTTCAATGCCATAGAACCAAAGCTCACAAATGGCGTGCTGCTATAAATACCATTATTTGTTTCTTCACTCTCATTCGCTGTGGAGCAAGCTTCCATTCCTGCACCACCGCACTACCAGGGCTTTCTATCACTATCTTCGACCCTCCACGCTGCATCATTCTTCCCGCGCGCTACTTTCCAAGGTAAACAACTCACGAATTACTAGTATTGGAAGCTGCTCTGTACTGTGCTATTCTCGCGGTTGAAATTTCTCTATTTCTCTTTTTTGCGTTTCCGCGTTAGGGCTATTGCACTGCTACCGAAGATTCGCCAGGAGTGTTGGTTTCTGACGCTGAATATGGAACCGGTCAAGCGCTGCAGCTAGGTTCCGCTGCCAATGTGACGAACACCGATCCTTTAAATGGCAGAGTTATGATCATCGACGGTACTTCGATTATTCACCGCGCGTACTACAAGCTCTTAGGCACGTTCGTTTTCTTTGCTCGTTTATGTTGGCGCAGAATTAATTGTCTTGTTCACTTTTCTAGGATGTGATGCATGTTATCCGATGATGGCTTCGTTTCCTCTGAATTGTTTTCTCTGTTTGGAGATGAGTAGTTATATTTTGAACACGAGGATTTTAATTTGAGTAAATAGTGTTATTAACGGCATACAAGACTTCTACACTCTCATCTAATATAATCATATTATAAAAGACTTTTACAATAATTTGTTAAAGCTGTTTTGGCTATTATTTATAAAATTTAAAGCTGTTTTGGCTTCCTATTATTTGTATTATTTTTTTTTAAATTAATTTGGGGTTTTGTTGGAGTAGTGCAATTGTGACCGATTGTTGGTAATCTTTTTCATGGTGTGATAGCAAAGTTGCACCATGGTCATCTAACGCATGCTGATGGAAACGGAGATTGGGTTTTAACAATATTTACGGCACTATCGCTTGTAAGTTATCAGTACAGACATGTATGTGGATGCTTGGTATTTATTTTCTCATTTTAATCAGTAAAATTCATAGATTATTTATGCTCCTAGAATAATTATTCTTGTCATCTTGGTGCTTTATTCCTTTTTCTTTTATGTTATTACATTGTTCTTTAAACAATAAAGCTATATTTCTCTGCAAGACTACTATGAGGATTGTGGAAACATACAAACATATACGGTAAATACTAATTTTAGTGCCCATTTTAATATATAATGATTGGGGCGGACATTCAGTAATATGTAAGGCTTCGGTTCCAGATAGTTTGCTATAATATATTCTTGGAATTAAATTTTACATGACTGTACACATATTGAGATTTTTCTTTCATGTTTTTGTTATTTTCAGTGAGAACATGTAGCTTCTCTTTCTGAAATCACTATATGCTCAAATGGAGTAGTGATTATCAAAGCTTTGAAATCAAATATTTTGTTATTAAAGTTGGTGAATCGTAAGTCTTTAAAACAAATCACAAATCTTAGCCTCAATAATACATTGCAATCTGTGAATAAAATAATACACTATTGAGCAAGAAAAATGATAATCATAATAGACTTGCAGGTATATTCCAAACCAAAATAAGTTGAAGTAAGAATAAAATATAATATAATATAGGTTGCAGAACAATTAGAAAGGTGAAGGGTATTGTCTTGTAGCTACTTTGGTAAGCTTATGACTGTATTCAGAGTAAAATTTTAAACTGTTACATCAAATTATTAGTTTTTTGTAATAATACGATACTCATCATAGAATTCCTATAAATATAATCTTAGTAGAATATCTTACATTCTTGTATTATTTTCTCCTGACTTACATTATAATTGTACTATAATACAAATGCCTTTATAATATAATCATTTGTCTAATTAAATAATGCTGTTTGTTGTGTCAGCAAGTTCAAACACATGGACTCATAAGAGCTATAATTTAATTTTTCTGCAGTATTTTTAACTTTTCCTCTTGATTAATCTTAAGAGACTTAATGCGTGATAATTTTAATTTATATTTGTAGTGCAGATTCTTGGAATTGAGCCACAATTTTTTTCTAGTTTTAATTGACAATGCAACATCTATATATATAATGATTTTCAATGTGGTTGAATACACATATAAGTTTCATTTTGTTTAATTGATGTGTTCTTTTTAAATTATAGTCATTGTTTGTTATTGTTCTTGCAGATAATTGATGTTCTGGAATTTATCCCCTCCCATGTGGTGGTAAGTTTTGCAAATCATGTGTTTTATGTATGTGCAGACGCATGTATTTTCATAAAGATTTTCATTGTTAGTATTTTTTTACTATTAATACAATCTTATTCGTTTTGCTTGTGTTTAAAATCAGTTAATCTTATGGCTATTGTTTGGTTTCTTTTAAACGCAGGTAGTGTTTGACCATGATGGTGAGTTATAAAAATACTGCCTCTACATTTGCTAGTATGTTTTTTTTGTTTTCCTCTTTTATATTCTTCATGCTAATAGAAATTTATCTTTTCTTTAACCATTGTGATACTTATTTTCTGTACTATTTTACCGTTTTGGGATAATGCATATGCATGTATTGATAATTAATTATAAGTTATAAGTTCTGTTTCGGCTTTTTGCTGTGCTTCGTATGTTTTGATTGAGATAGTATTGGTTTCCATGACTGAATTTGGATTGCTCTATCTACAAAATAATGAAAGAAAAGTTATTGACTGCAATACAGTAAAGATGCTGAGAGGAATAATATGGATTGGAATATAAGAATAGCTCAATGGGCATAATGGACATAGACATAATCTGGTACTGTTTGTCTGATCTTCAGTTAGGTCTGCATTTTCAAATGATTCCTCCACAGGAACATTGAATTCATACTACATCAACAATATCTTATAAAGTTAATGTCTTAATGAGAAGTTACAAAAAAATATTAAACCTGTGCATATCGTTTTACTCTGAATTCCAGACTGGCCTTAAAGGATTCATCTTGTCACAATAGGCCTTAAAGTGTTCTCTGTTAGCAATATTGTTTTATGCTATCTTTCCTTTTATATGATGTTTTATGATTTCCTGTTTAGCATTATGCTAAAGTTCTCTGTGCTACATGCCTAACTAAAACTTGGAATATAGTTTTATGCTGATGCTCTATTTCTGCTGGACTGTTCTTGTAGTATCTGCCAAAGTATTCGTCATTTGTTTTAAAATGACAGTAGGAAATTCGTGGTGAAAGATTAATTGAGTTCAATGAATGCTTTTATGCTATTCGTGCAATCTTTGAGTTCATTCTGTTTGGGATCTTATCTTGAACTAAAGCATTCATATCAGGTTTACCTGAATCATGAAGAGACAAATATAATGAAATATAGGTAATTTGATGTCTAATCCTTAGCATTTTAGGAAGCAGCAGCCTTTAGTTTCGTTAGAAACTGAAGAGAAAGGAAGCTTTTTTGCACCTGGAAAGTATAAATATATAAAGGAGGATAAAAGTACTGTTTGCTGCAAGATTTCCCACCAAATTCTTGCTATTGTACTCTAGGATGTTGTGTTTAGATTGGACTTATCATCATCATCTGTGATGACATGGCATAGGGAAACTACTATGTTCAGTCATGCACAAATTGCTTCTAGTTCTAGATGCTGTTGATATTCTGGTGGTATCTGGGCATATGTAGAAACGCATCAATTTGCGGTTCCCAGCAGCTAACTTGCATTTCTCAGGTTCATTGGCTTGTAAAACCACTGTCAAATATAATTTTAATAGAGAAAACCTTCTCATTTCAGGACTTCCTTTTGGTCATACTTATAATTCATCAAAAGAAAGTTTTACTGCAAAAGGTATGTTTGTTTCTAAGTTTCAGTATTTACATGATGAAATTGGAATATGCAATCTATATCATAATTCAAAGCTCATACTTTGGTGGATGTATATGGGCACAAGTGGAGTGGCGTGCCAATTCTTTTTATCATTTTTTCTTTTGTGCGTTTTTTCTTAAATTATTGGACTTCCTCAAATAAAGTGTTCTTTTACTTTGTCCACCCACCCCAAATAAAACTCTTCTAGCTCCTAACCTCTATGTATATGTACCCTTTTACAGTCATATGTCTGGGTTTCATTCAGATAATGTACTTGCCATCATAAGGTTGGAGGTAATCCAGATAAATTATCTCAGCTGTTTTGGAGACTAGTCAAGAAAGTTGGGTTCTAGATGTTGGAGAAAATAATGCGTATTGTTATATTTGTAAGTGAAATTACACAAACAACCAAGTTTTTTCCCTCTAAGTTAGGTTGGCTTAATGGATCAATGACTCCAGGGTGTTCTGTTGTGAATCATGTCCATGGACAAATCATTGAGTACATTCTTTTGTTGGCCCTTTTACGATCCAACAGTTAGTTCCATATAGTGTTTTCCATATCAATAAAGGCCATGAGTAAAAGTTTTTTTGGACTGTTGTGCCACATCTTTATATTCCTTTCTCAATCTTCAATGGAGGACTACAATATATATCTGCTTATAATGGTTGTGGTTCTGCATGGCCCCAATCTTCTATTCTGTTCAATTTTGTCTCACTTTGATTTGTGGGGCTTCAATTCAAATCAAGCTGGGGTAGTTAATATTATGTTTTACTGTGCTTTTAGAATGCCTAACTGATTAATTTACATTTTTAAGTGAGATTTACCTTAATTCTTTGATCATGTCTTACTTTGACATTTTGTTCTACAGCTTCAAAATGTTATTTGTTCTTAATTTCACGTGCTCTTTATTTGAAGGTCAGAATTTTCGGCACAATCTATATCCCGCATACAAGAGCAACCGACCTCCAACTCCTGATACCATTGTGCAGGGACTTCAATACTTAAAAGCATCCATTAAAGCTATGTCCATAAAAGTAATCGAGGCAAGTATAAGTTGCGAATTCCTATTGCTTACAGATTTTCAGGCTGTAATATAATTGATACAAATTGGTTCAATGATAGGTTCCAGGTGTAGAAGCAGATGATGTGATTGGAACCTTAGCCTTAAGGAGCGTTGATACTGGGTACAAGGTAATCTCCTTAACGATTTTGAATCCTCCTCTTATGCACATATTAAATTTTGAGAAAATAGTGTTCTCTTTGGAATAGGAATTCACAACTTATACAACCTGAAGGCTATATCTGATGCATTGTATCAATTATATTATATTCCACCCTGAAAATTTGTAAGCAATAGGAATTGACAACTTTTACTTGCCTCGATGACTTTTATGGACATAGCCTTATTGGTTACAACTTATATTCCTATGGTCAAAACATTCCAGATATATTACATCAGAAATCTTTCATCCTTGAGCTTGCTTTTTGTGTTGAATGATAGCCAATATATTATTCTCAATTTAAACATGGCATTACATCCTATTAAGTCTTGATGTTGGGACACCGTAGGCATCCAAGTCTTGTAAGCCTTGTGCTCTAAATTTGTAGAGCTAAGCCCTGTGCTCTAAATTTCAAGTCCTAGGTGTGTCAAGATCCCCTGAATTAAATTTTGGGATTTAGTTACGCACTATCCATTTTAATTCCAGTCAGGGGTGTACCTATGTTGCTCCTAAAACCTATCATTTTAATTCTCTATTTCACATGAAAAGATTTTTACATATATGAGACCAAAAGACATAAAAAATTACAAAAGTTGATAAAAGAATTATTAAATTTCTGTTAATTTTACAGTTTTAAGAAATCTCAACAAATAGATTATGTCCTTTTTACACACAAAAATCACATTATAATAGTAATGTCAAGAGATTTATATCAAGAGGAAACATTAACCAATATTATTTCAATACATGACTTTAAATAGAAATTTTATGACTCAAATCTTTTGGCTGATAAGGTGATGATTTTCTAACACATACATGCATTATAGGATGAAATAATGTGGATATGCATAGGATTCTAGTGGATTGGATTAAAATAATAATTCATTAATCCATTAAAAATCATTAAAGAATTTCAATCCATCTTGACCCACTTAATAGAAAATCCATCCGATCCAGCCATCAACAATTTTTTCATGGATGGATTTTGTCTAAAGTTAACTTAATGATGTTCTAGTTGAAGATGGTCAAAATATGGTCTGGTCAAGGCTGATTGAAAGATATCTTGATCAAAACAAAACAAGTTGAAAGATGATTGACCTGTTTTGGTTGAGGTGAGTTGAAAATTCTTTGGTTAAGACCGAACTTAATATGTATAAATTGAAACTGAATGAAATATGCCTTGATTGAGAGGATGTGCAACAATGCCCAAGTAATGCCGTTTTGACACTAAATTGGTTGAGGTTGAGCCAAAGATGTTTCCATTAAGAAATGAAAATGAATAATTGACAAATTCATTAATAATTATAAATTCATTATAGAAGAAAAAAGATAGATTTAAATAGGAATAAATAGAGAATATAAGCGGGTAGCGGGAATCGAACCCGCATCGTTAGCTTGGAAGGCTAAGGGTTATAGTCGACGTTGATTCATCATTTTGATTTAACGTCTCTAATTCAAAACCGAACGTGAAACTTTTGTTTCATTCGGCTCCTTTACGGAAAAAATGAAGAGATGTAAAAAAAAAATTGACCCATAACATCTATGTCAGCCTTTTTGTTTTGTATGAATAGGTTTAAAATCTCTTGCTTTTTAGATGATCCCTCTAGAAGAGCAGTATTCTAACAATCTATGTTTTTTTCTAGTTACTTCGTTCTCTATTTCTATTTCATAAAATCTTTAGGAAAAGAATAAAATTTCCGTTGAGCTAAAAAAATGTCGATGTTTCTTGCAAACTAAAAAAATCGTTTAATAGCTATTTTGCTTCAATCTCTACTATACATAAAAATGGAAGATTTAGTTACGATTAGAAATAAACTTTGTATATTTCTCTCCATAGATTCTTTAGTAATACTCAAAAAATTTGGATTATAGATCCAATTCCAATACCCTTGTGGGGATGAATCAGTGATACCCTAGTCAAGTTGACAATGCCTTGGCTGAGCCAAAGCTGATGGCATCCCGACTGAGGTTGAATTGATGACGACCTAGTAGTAGTTGAGCTAACAGTGTCTTGACCAAGATTTAGCTGATCATGTTTTGACTGAGGTCAAGTCTGACAATGTCTCAGACAAGATTGAGTTAGCGATGCCATGATTGAAGCCGAGCTGAAATATTTAAAAAAATAATTTAACGAAGTTTTGGTTTTGAAATAATATGGTTGGACTAATTTTGATCCATTGTCTTAGTCAAAGGATCATTTTGAAAAATAAAGGATAGATCATTAACCAACTGCCAAAGTAAATGGTTGGATTTGTTCAAATCTTTTTTCTTTTTAATGGATGGATTAATGGATTTACTTGTGAATGGATTGGATGGATGATGGATAAATTGATTGCCCCGCCAGCTCTATTGTATTATATGTGACTTGTAAACATTTTCTAGCTATGCTGACATCGATTTGATCAGAATTATTCTTCTAGTTTTAATAATCTTATTCCAAAACATGAAACCTGTGTCTAGCTATCTATAATTTCTAAAGATTGATTTGCTTTCCTTTAACCAATCCTACTTATAGAATTATGTGCTCAAACGTTTTCTGGTTTTTCTGACATCAGTTTGATCAAAATTATTCTTATAGTTTTAATAAACTTATTCCAAACATGACACTTGAATCTAGCTATCTACAAAAGTCTACCAAAGAATGATTTAAAATTTCCTTTAACCAATCCTTCATATAAAATTACTCTATGTGCAACCCCACGTATTAAATAAAATGATAATTGTTTGAAATATACAAATTTACAGTAAAAGAAAAATTCTTCTAGAATAGTGTTTTTTGTTGCATGATGAGTCTATCAATCAGTTTAAATTTGAAATGTCAAGTTTTCTGGGTTTTGAACTAGATTTTTTACATTGTTTCATAAATATATTGTAGTTAAATTGAATGGGTGTGTAGAAAGAAAAAGTAGTGTTATGGAACTTTAATAAAGGAAGGTTTAAATTTGTTTGACCGATTAGTTGTGGAATTGAATTACCTTTTACTACCTTCCTGTGATTTGACAATTGAAGATTTTTCGTATCATCTGTTGTCAATTGCCTCCCCCTGGTAATAATTATCATTTAGTATTAGTGAAAGTATAATTGATTTTTTGTTTTGTTTGGTATGTATATTTGTTAGTCTGCTGATGATATTGAAGTTGTAACTAATATTCATTGTAACCTTATCATGCTAATTACAAGTGTGATTGATGAGACTTGATAAAGTTTTTGTTTTCTAATCTTCTTGGATGGGCAACAGCACTTTCCTTTAAAGACAATGGGGGACAATTTATGGTGGGGCTATTCTGCTTGTATAAAATTTTAAATAGCTTGATATTTATGCTTTCATTATGGAGAGACCCTAATGACATTGCTAAGTCACCACTACTGATATTATTTTATCTTGATGATAGGTAAGAGTTGTCTCCCCTGACAAAGACTTTTTTCAGATTTTGTCCCCTTCACTAAGACTCCTTCGAATTGCTCCACGTGGTGATCAGTTAGTATCTGACTTAATTTCTACTCTTTTTGTTTTGTGTTAATTTTTTTTAGCTTGCTAATGATCCAGTGCAAAAATTGATAGCACTTTTTTCTGACTTCAATATAAGAGCATCTCCGGGGAGTTGCTTAGAGGAGTTCTTAAGAATAAAATATATTATCTTGATGTGAGTCCCACTGTTAGAGTTACTTGAAACGATAACGTTGACCTGTTTTAAAGAACTTTGACTGTAGAATTCACATCAAAATAATATATTTTATTCTTAAGAACTCTTATGAGTTCTTATAAGCAATTTCTACCGGAGACGCTCTAACAAGAAATAATCTGATAATAGTTCTTTAATTGCTTTCTTTACTGTATTTATCCTTTTATATGTAGAAATTCACATTACCAGAGGAACAGAATTGTCAAATACACATTTTTACATTTGGAACCCCTGATTCAGCTCTTTTGCAGAGTTCTGACAACTATACCTTATTGGCAATGTAAATATTATGGTAGCTAATGTTGCCGTTTCTCTTGCTAGTGCTTCTTGAATACTGCATGGACTTTTTTGGTAAACTAATAACGAAAAACCTATATTACATGGAACAGTATATACATTGCTAATTATACCTTATTGGGAATGTAATGCTAACCCATGTTACTCTCTCTTTCTCTCTCTCTCTCTCTCTATATATATATATATATATATATATCACAGTTGCTTCTTGTGTTTAGAATAGCTTTTTATCATAAACTAATTATGAAAATTCTATATTACATGGAACATAATTGGTGTTGCATGCTGGACAACAATTCAATACTTCTTCATAAATCATATTAAAACAAGGCTATCGCAGAAAGGTTTTCAAAATTTAATAGCTTTTAATCTGTATAGTTTCTATCTACAGCTGCAATTTACAAAGTAGTTTATAATTATTTACTGTTTCTATTTTTTCAACAGGATGGTTTCATTTGGAGTTGAGGATTTTGCGAATAGATATGGAGGTCTGAAACCATCCCAGTTTGCAGATATGATCGCACTCTCTGGGGATAGATCTGATAATATTCCAGGTTCCTCCATTTGAAAAGTCATTTGCTTAGTCATGAGGAATGAAATAGATCAGGGATAGAGAGTGTGAGAAGCTCTCAATTTGGGGATATGCATAATTTCTTATTAGTTACCTATGAAATCAATGGGTATTAGTTACGGAATCTGTTAGAATTAGGATTATTATTTTAGTATTATCAGTCGTGTCCGGAATCTTAGTTCTTTAGTTGTACTTGTATTGATCTATATTATTGGTATAAAAATGGTATTAGGTCAGTGATTTACTGCCACATCATTATAATATCACAATCATTTTAGTAAAATTTCTTTAGTAATATCCCTCATCATTTTAGGTAAGATTAAAGTCACTAATTAAAATATTTTGAAACTCTTTTTATCGTTGTGAAATTGATGTTTTTTTTTTCTCTTCATCATTGAAGTAATTTAATTCTACTATTCTGGAATCACATAAAAATGTTAGCTGGTATCCCTAATAACAGTTCTGCCGCACCACGATGTCTTTGGCATCTTTGAAGTACATCTTACATGGAAGTTATTCACTATTTTAAAATTTGTCACATCTTAATAAAAATTTCTGGATGCTGCCCTCCCATATTTAGGTGATCATGTCTTAATATACTCCCTTTTAACCTTGATCCGAAGGAAAAGAAACCTACTCCTAAAAGTGGGATTTCTTAAATGTAGAAAACTGGTCAACAGCTGTTGTAATTTAAAGAATTGAACTTTAGTCTTTCTAGGAAATGGGGAAAACTTACTGTATTCCAAGATATAGTTGACCGTGTTAATTTTAGGGCACATGTGAATTCCAAGATTTGGTTTTTATGGAACTGGAATGAAAATGGATCAATGGAATGATAATTGGTTTCCCAAAAGTCTGATTTGGTCAGGAAGCGATCAATTTTTATTACATTCCATTCTGCTTTTCTGTTTGGTACTTAGATGACATATGTAATTATGAAGTTATAAACTAATTAAATATATGAGAAATGAAGAAGCATTAATTGATTATATAGTAGAACGAATCCCATCACCGGTGGCCATTCTCATTTGTAGAAGGAATCCCAACCTTAGGATTGGAGTCATCATTATGTGTATTTTTATAGCCAAACTGATGAACCATCCTTCCCATGGAATAGAGACAATTTATATAAGCTTGTGGAATTTTAACAAATATTTAATATTTTTAATATTTTACAAATGCAGGAGTTAATGGAATTGGAGATGTTCACGCTGTGCAATTAATCAGTCGATTTGGTGAGGTTTTATTAGCTTTCTCTTCCATTTCCCAGAGGTTTCATTGTCTTAAGTTGAGGATTCTTATCTAGTGTTGGATTCATTAATACTGCATGTTCTAGCATCGTGTGAATTCAATATTCACCTAGTACCTCAGTCTGTGATTTGATTTTTACGAACTCAGCCGCTTTGAGAGTCTGTCTTCCTATCTAATAAGCAAGCATTTTTATTTGCTTGACCAAAACGATAATCTAGGGAGACATGGTAAGGGAAAAGAAAATGAGTGTTAATAAATTTGTTAATAGGGGATTTTCACTACACATGTAACTGAATGCTTATATAGCAAGCAGAGCAAGAAGACATGTAAAGAGTGGCGTCTCTCCTGGGTAGATAAAATGCAACAGAGAAAGGAAGGAGAGGTTAGGTGATATGGTAAGGTTTAAACTGAAGGTTGCAGCCTTGTTACGTGCTGCTCTATCTGTGTACTTCTTTCCCTTTCCTTTTTAGTGGGAGAATCAGAGGTTCTGCTGAGTTATCATTGGAATTCCTTCTCCTTTTTGTAATCAGATATTAGAGTTCTCATTCTAATCCCTTTGTGGTATCCTTTTTGGGGTGTTTGGTTTGGCTGGAAAATACCTAATTAACAGTTGCTTTATTGCAGTGTCAGCAAAAATCAGTAAGTTTATTAACTTAAATAGTCTATATAGTTGCAGTTGTAACAGTGCTTTCTTTGGTTTGTTTTCCCTTTTCAGTTACATACATGTTCTACCTATAGAGTGTTTTAAAAATTATTGAATTACTTTGAATTTTATTGGTTTGGTGCTTGGTTGACATGAGATAATAGTCATCCAAATAATTTAACTTTCTAGAACACACTCGTAAAAGATTTTTGTTTTTAGCTTTTTGGTCTTGTACCTTGTATATTTTTTTATGCATATATGGTTGTGATCATATCTCTTCACCTATATAAACAGGCACATTGGAGAGGTTGTTGGAATCTGTTGATCAAATTAAAGAGGATCGCATTAGAAAGGTTTTCCTGACTGATATTATACTTCATGTGCAAGTTTGCTCACATGATGATTAAAATGTTCTCATTGGAATTTAAATATCTGGTTCAACATGATTTGTGAGGTTTCTTTTTGCATTTAGCATATGAATGTAATCGGTTCTCTGCTGTAAAAGATTTACCTTTCAAAGTTAATGTAATTTGTTTCCTGCTGTACATCGACACTAAAAGCTAATATTGGGCTTACATTTTCCTTTTTTCCTTCTAGGCCTTGATTGAAAATGCTGAGCAGGCCCTCCTAAGCAAAGAACTGGCAAGCATCTCGATCTCTTATATTTGTTTTTGGCCCTGCACCCTCTTTTTGTTCTTCTCGGGATCTATTTTTCCTGTTATCGACAATTTTCTCTCATGAGTTTGTACTTTAAATCATGACAGGCATTGTTGCGTTCTGATCTTCCGTCGTACATGGTACCATTTGCCGTGAAAGATCTCTCGTTCACTAAACCAGAGGTTTGTGGCATTGAAGGCAGTTTAAATTTTCAATTATTTATATGTTTAATTAGTTGTTAGTTTGATCTTTTTAGCCCAATTGTAGATTTTATTTAAATCTCATTTATCAGTATCAAGTTTTTGTGCTATAAGGTAACCCACGTTACGGTCATAAACTGGTTGGTCGTTGCCATTAAGGCCATGTTAATTGTGATAAGCAGCAGCAAAAAAGCTCATGGATAATTATTTGATTTATTTTTTTGGTCCGGGGTGGGGGAACCTTGTGATAAAATGATATTTTAATTATTATATACTATTAATCCTAAATACAATATTATATTAGTAGTATAAATGTGTGGAGGTAGGCTATTATGTTTTGTATGCTTTTTAACTCTTAAAATAAATTTGTACAGGACAACGGTAGTAGATTCAACAGCCTTTTAACAGCTATCAGTGCTTACGCAGAAGGGTTTTCAGCTGACCCTCTTATCAGGAGAGCAGTTCATTTATGGAGAAAGTTGGAGTCAACATGAAATTCTGAGTCAGGTTTTCTTGTATAAAAGGAATTCTTTATTAGAACATATTTCAATACTTGAACAACAGTACATAACATGAGGCTATTAAAGTGTACACAGAAAGCAGAGTGGGTTCTTGTTGTGAGGATATCTATACATTCCACTGACGGCTCTGTGATCCTAAGTATATTATTGGTTGTAGTTTGAAACAATTTTTGTTCAAGTTAAAAGGCACAGAGTAGGCACTAGGAAGAACACAGAAGTATGAGTTGTACTGTTTGTCAGGTTTTAGATTTTGGGAAATATTTTGCAGAAGATTTGAGAAGTCTAAGTCTAGGCCCTCACACGTATACTCATGCCAGATTGATAGATAACAGGGTTTAGACCGAATTATTAAAATGCTAATTGTTGGTGCATTGCATTCACACACCCTTAGGGATGGCAAAGTTTTCAGCCCGCTTTGGCCCGCCCCGCCAAGCCCGCCAACCCGTCGGGCCAACCCGCGGGACGGGGCGGACCAGCCCGCGGCCCGCCTAATTAATAAAAAAATATTTTTTTATTGTAATAAAATTAATTATAAAGATAATATATAAAGTTAAAAATTTTAAAAAGAGAATTAAAAAAGTTTCATTCTCACACAAAATATTCTCCTTCCCGAAATATAACCTTCTCTCCTATTCTCTTTACTTATCCTAAGTATTGATTATATTTATCTTTATTACTTGAATTAAAGGTATAAGAATTACTCAACCAAGTATAATATGAAGTTTTATCAAATAAAAAAGATATAGGTATTTGAATTTTTCAATATAAAAAATATAAATTTTATAAGTTTAACGTTATATATATATATATATATATATATATATATATATATATATATATATATATATATATTTGTTATTACTTATTATTATGTATATATATATATATATATATATATATTTGTTATTACTTATTATTATGTAAATTTTATTATTGTTCTAAATTATAATTTCTTAAAATAATATATTGATTTATATTATTAAATTGAAATAATATATATATATTGAATTATTGACAAACAAATAATAATCTTATTATTAAATTTATTAAAAAAATTATTTTTTTTAAATTATGGCTAGGCCAGCCGTCAACCCGCCACTTAGCGGGCGGCCAAGGTCTACAGCCCGTCATGACTATATCGGGCCAGCCCGTCCCGCCCGCTGGGGCGGGCCAAAACGGGGCGGGCTGGCCCGTTTTGCCATCCCTACACACCCTACCCAGTATAATCGATCAGGGAGCTAAAGCAGTATCAACCCTGCAGAGGATTGCTTATATTGGCCTTGTCCCTGGAGAGGATTGAAAAAGACACCTAATATTCTCAAGCATCAATAATCCATTAATGCTTCTATTAAGAAACATTTAATTGACGTTTCTATTGAGAAACAGCAATTTCTTTTAAGGTTTGGGAAACGCAACTGAAATATTTAGGATAGGTTGAGAGATGCTACCACAGTTTATATATAAATATATATGTAATCATTTGTTAAGTTAAAATGAAGTTAAACATGTTGTAAAATTGGAAGTTAAATACTGTGAGTATGTATTCAGATAAAAATAATGCTATAAGAAATTCACAAATTGATGCCACCTTACAAGTCCTTCATAACATGTGAATTGAGGCATTATTGGCCTTTTATTCTTACACTGCTTAGATTTGAAATGACTAAATTGACTTAAAGAGTTTTTAAAACTTTGTACCTTTTTCACATAAATTTTTTCTCTAAAAAGTTATTTCCGGAATGAATTTAAGGTTCTTATAGAACGATCATTCTAGATTTAATTCTATTTTATTATGAAATTCTAATAATGTAAACAAATGTCATTATTAGTAATCCGAATAAACAATTTTAAACAAAAATTAACATCCGTATTAAAAAATATTTTGGAATTATTTTTTTAATGAAATCTTCATTTATCATTATGGAGTGACGATTTTGTATGGCAACGAGGTTTGGTAGGCTTTGTATTTTTACTCTTCTTCCTTATTTTTTTTATTGGTATTAAAAATTAAGTTTCTATTTTTGTTATTGTTGGGTTTTGATTTTTTTTCTTCGTTTTACAATATTTTAAAAAAATTATATTTATAAAAATTATTTTTAATATATTTATATATATATTATTATTAATTAAATATATATTTAATTTATTATATTTATATTAAAAAATATATATAAAAGAAATATTTAATTATTTTTTTATATGCATATAAAATATTTGTATTATTATTATTATTATAATAGTATTTGATTATATGTATAAATGAATTATTTTTTAAATTGTTATTTTAAAATATGAAATATATAATTTATAAGAAAGTATTTAATAAGTTAATTTTTATTTTATTAGTTTAAAATAATAATAAAATTTATTTTTTTATCTTTTAAAATATAATTATTTTATTAAGATAAAAATTGATTGACAAATAAAAATAATAAAATCTAAAAAATATGATATAATAAAATAGAATTTTTAGAAAAAGAGAATGAGAAAGAAAGATGAATTTTGTATTTGTGTTGAAGAGATTGAAAAAAATAAAATAGATTAAAGAGATTAAAGAAATGTAAAAAAAAAATAAAAGGTTAAAGAAAATAAATAATGTAATGAATTAATTAATTTTAAGAGATTGAAAAAGATAAAAAAGTGAAAATTAGGTAGAAGAAAATAATGAGTGTGGAATATAAAAGAAATGATTTTATATACAATGTAAGAAAGAAAATAAAATATTTTAAAAGTATTAATATTTTAAGATTTTAATTTAAATATAAAGTTGAGAAAGGAACGAAGGTGGTATCAGGACCGCAGTGGAGATTGAATTACTCATTCCTTTTCTCAATTTTTTAAAATGAGAAAAACATGAACCTGTATTCGGTTAACTCGATTTTTTTTTGCACGAAACAAGAACATATCGATCTACGAGTACTAATTAAGTTATTATTCCTAGTTGATAATTAGAAAGGATAATTTTTTTTTTTAAGTTATAACATCCAAATTTAAAAATCGCTTAGGACAAAAACATTTCACACATTGAGTTAGAAGGATGAGATTTTAGGGCTGTTTGTTTAAAATTTTCAATAAAATAATCATTTATTATGATTTTTAACATATTTTGTTAAACTTATTGAAAACACAAACAAAAAATAAAACAATTATTTACTTTGAAGAAACGACTTAAAGTTGTTTTTCATAAAAAAATAAATAAATAAAGATTTTTCCTTTAAAACACGAATTTATATAAAAATTACTTGGGTGCTGAAAGGAAGTGTGTATTAGTTCTTAATTAGTCTACACATGCTTCACTTCGATGGATTCTTTCTTTTCAGTTGCGTATTGGGCTGTTTATGGTTCACGAAAAAAAAAAAAAAGTTTTCGACAATAATGCTCCTTTAAAAAAAAAAAATAAGGATAAAGCTAATACTATCACGTCTGAACAAAGGATACAGAAACATAATTTGTTTACTTAATAGTTTGAATACAACTTTTAGTTAAATGGCCAAGCTATTAAGTTTCTCAAAAAAAAAAAAAAAAAAAAAAGGTAATGAATTTCTTCATACTCAAAAAATGGTGTCATCATCTTCATATAGATGTCATCCCACTAAACCCTCTTCTTTGATGCCCTGGTGCGAGTTTGTATATTCAGTGTGGTATCCGCAGATGTCTCTGATATTTCTTCAGCATCTGAGCTTCCCAACTCAGTAAGGCGTGTTTTAATCAGATAATGAGCCACAGATTTGAAACCCAGCTTTGACACCTTACAAATGCAATTAAATGGGAATAATCAGTTACAGCATACCATTGCCCCACATCTCAAATCCAAGTGGCAACAAGAACAAAGGGTGAAGGCTTTTTTTTGGAAGAATGTCGAGGCAAAATATATGTACTCATTTACAATGACCTGGAGTTGTTTTTTCCCATCTACCAATGAAGATAGAACAGAGACAACAACAAAAGACTTGCATCCTAACTAAGTTAGATTAACTACATGGATCGCATAGCATTGTTATGATTCATTAGTGTATCTCAAGATTTAAAGCGAGATTCCATAATTCAAATAAATAGCTAACCAAAGCACTTTTATACGATTCAAATCATAAATTATGAGATTCTATTCTATTCTATTCTATTCTATTCTAACAACTATGCTGTGCAGCACTAACCTTACTATATATGTTGCCAGTAGGCATCCAACCTTTTCCCCTGCGGCAACGACTGCAATTGCAAATTCCTCGACAAGGAGGGCAAACCCATTTGGTGTTATGGTTGGCTTCTATTACATTTTCTCCATATCTATAAAACATCAGTAGAAAGTGACTTGCATCAAACATGACAGAATGACAGTGGTTGACACAACACAAGGCTATTTTTGTTAGTTTTAGATGGGGCCTCAGTTTCTCAACACATTTAGTTGACATAATAAACAATGCCAGCTTTTTTTCAAGTTCTGAATGGAAAATCTGAACCTCAGCTGAAACAATATTACCTCATGTATAAGCAGTCTCCACAAAATTGCCCTTGGAGTAATTCGCATTTGTTGCAATTAGTATGCTGGGCTAGAGTTTTCTGCCTGCATGTAAAAGAACGATTTATGAAAAGCTCTGCCCTGAAAGAATTATCATATGGAGGATGCGCCAACTTTATACATTAACTAGTACTTCGAAAGGAACTGCGTCTGTGTTCTTCAATCAAAACGAGTCTAAATAGCAAAGCCTTCTCATTCCAAGTGCCGAGATCAAACATAACATATGTCAAATATCCCAAGCATATTAAATAAGATTTGCAATGTAAAAATGAATCATTAGGGAAAAAAAGTCTGGGGGAATGAAATTGGAATCTAGATTATGTTTAAAAATAGAGGACATGGGTTAAAAGAAATAAACATTTAACTTCTATTATAACTTATATGAAGCATGGAGAAGACACATGAATGTTCTGATGCAAGTATACATGTATCTTCATGTAACAATATAAGCTTCTAATTTCTATTGTCAAAATAAATTGTGTAGAGATAGAAACTAGTGATTCCTACAAGGACATAGGGTATATCCCAAAGAGCATAGTGAGTTAATCACTGTACAATGAATATTACCTGCATTGATGGCAGGTCTGTCCTTTGATTGGATCATACATACGGTTCCCATCCTCATCATATCCATCCACACACAATTCCCAAGTACTCTCACAGTCTCCCAGAAGCTTCTCATGCTCTTCAGTGTAAACTTCAGGGTTTGTACCTTCTGGTATAAAAATCTCTACTTCATTTTCTTTACTTCCGGGGTCAGGAAGCTTTCCTTCAGAATAGTCAATTGGTACCAGGCTCATTATTCTGCAAACCCATGAAATATGTCAATTACATTTCAGGTACTTTAGATGTTTCTATAGTATTTTTTGAATCTTCATTTCAACACAAATGAAAGGTGACAATGAGCACAGAAATAATGTCATTCCATTTTTAGAAAAAAATTAGACACAATTCTTCATGTGATCACAGTGTTCTTATTGAATCAGAACTAGTGTTCCACTTTTTCATAACAAAAGTTTGAGTTAAAATTCGGCACATATAATAAAAAACATCAAATTTACTTTAAAAACTGTATCTTAACATACATACACAATCCTAATATTAGATTATTAAAACATCGATATACTTATTTTTACATGAACTCTATATACCATGTCTAAGCCTAGCAATGTTCATCTTCACGTCTAATTTACTTCCAAAATGGAAGTGGGTTTCAAGTTGCACAGAAAAGGGAAAAGACAACATCTTTGGGGACATATGAACGAACCCACAAGGAAAGAATCCTCCTTTTGGCGCTCCATTGCGAGCAAATCAAGTATAAAGGAAGAAATGAAAAGAATACCTGGAAGAGCGTCTCTGGGGCGAATTGTTGGGTTGGGGGATGGTCTTCTTCTTCTTCTTCTTGGGGAGATGGTTTTCTTTTGGGGGTTTGAGCTTGAGAGACAAGTCGAACAAGCCAAGCTTTTGCATTCTCTCCATGTTCTCTTTGATCCTTTGGTTCCTGGCTTGCTCGTAATGTGAAGAGTCCACTTCTGTTTTGGACCCTTCTTCACTTGGGGAGTCGCTACCATCAGCATCATCTTCCGAAAGAGAAGGAGGAGGTTCTTCTTCTTCTTCCCTCTTCTTTCTGCGACTGCCCATTCTCGTCCTGGAGTTGTCTGTGTTTTTCGTTTGGGACTTTCTATGTTCTGAGTTTGGGAAGGTGAAATGGCGGGTGTCCCATACCCACGTCCAATTTTATACAACTTTAACAAACAATCCACTTTTAATATTATAATGATAATTTTAATGGATTGTTTTTTGAGTTGTTTTTTCTTTCGGGTGGTCAAAATATTATGACCCAATTTCTAAACCAAACTATTTTGGGATTTTTTTTTATATTATTATTAAAATGTGATTCTTGATTTCATCAGGGAAGAAAAATTAAAAATTAAAATTAAAATATATTTTTTAAAGTATTATTAGAAAATGTTTATAAAATACATAAGGTGAACTTTGAATTTTGATATCATCTAAAACATATATTTTATATATCATAATTATTAAAATTAAGAAAATAAACCAAATTGATTATAAAACTACTATGAAAATTAATATATTAATACAAGGTTGTAGAATATCTAAACTTGGTGCACCTTCTACTAACTTATATATTAATTTCACACCTTTTCCTATTAAAATATAAAAAAAATGAAATTAACTTTTTCTGGATAATAGGATAACGATATGATTACAACAAATAAATGTTATTATAATAAGTTCTACCTATATTATCTTAAATAATGTAATATTATAAAACTTATTTAACCTTAATTATATCTTCAATAGATAGATTTTTAATCAATAAATTTTATTTTAATTTAATCACAATTAAATAATTAATTTAATGTATATATATCAAATTAATCTTTACTATTAGTAATTTTAAAAATATTTATGTCACTATTTATAAATGCACATTTGAAAAATTGACAATAATATACTTTCTTTCTCTTTATGTTATTGTTTACAACATTATTTTCATCTTCATCTTTTACCGTGGAATAACATTTAACATTCCGTTAGTGAAGAATGACATAAGAACGAATGAGGCAATAAAACAAACAACAGGACTTCATGGACTTAAAATTCTTTGATTTAGATCACATTATATACATGTCAATTAAAAATGAGAAAAAAAGTATCAAGATACATGTTACTTACACGTGAACGCAGTTTCGTAGAGTTAATAAAAGAAAGATTAATTTGTCTACGAAAATAGTTTTAGAAACTTAAATACCATTCAAATTATTTCAAAGTCTAATATGGTTGGTGACATGGAAGGGTTAATTTCTCTCAATTTTTTTTTTTATATATACCAGTGATTAATTTTTTGAATAAAATAAAATTTAGTTTTTAAATTTAAATAAGATTTAATTTTTTTCTATTTTTTGTTATATTTTTATCTCTCATGAAAATAGTGATAATAATTATAATAAATATTTTTGAAAAATTTTTATGTAAATTTTTCTTACACATTTTTTTCTCTTTCTCATTATTTTATCCTTTTTACTTTTCTCCGCTTAACATTTTCTCAGGTTAATTTTTTATATCATACCTTTACTTTTTTTTATATATATATATTTTTTCTTTTATCATTCTTTATTTTCTACGTTTTTCTCTTTCAACAGGTTTGTCGTAACATTAAAAATAAGTTTTTCTTTTTCTTTTTTTCAAAATTTTCTCTTTTCGAGTTCATCTTATATAAATTATAATTTTTTATTTTTTACTTTCTTTTTTTCGCTTCTATTCACATGGAGTATTGAAAATCAAAACACACAAGTTAAAAAAAATCCTGTCATGTTTTGTTTGAAGTGAATAAACAAAAATAAGTAAATTATTATTATTTTTATTTATTATAAAATTAGTTAGTTATTTTATCATACACTTTATTTTAATATTAAAATGTTAAAAAAAATTGGGTTTTAGATATACGTAAAAAAAGGAAATAAATGATAAATAAACTATAATTTATTAAACTTAAATTTAATAAATAATATTTAAAATGTTATTAAATAATTTATTATACAAATCATTAATAACTTATTTAATAATTTTCTTCTAACATTACTAGTATTGAAAAAATTAATATAAATATTTTAATATATGATCTTCCAATATATCTACAAATTTAGAATTATCTAATAATAATTTATATATATATATATATATATATATATATATTAACTAATTTAATATCAAATTTAAATTTTTTTAAATAAGACAACGGTTATAATATTTTAGAAACGAGTATAATAATTCACCATTATTTAATATAGCTAAATTTTATAATCAATTACAAATATTAACATATTATATTTTTATACATATTAAAATTAAATAGAATATACTTTTTATAACATAAATACACATTTATGTTTAATATAATTAACATATTTTATCTAATTTTAATATTATTTGTTATTTTATAAAGTTTTTAATATTAAAAAAAATCATGTGCATAATCAAAGACATCATGAAGTTTCTACTAATAAGTTTCTATTAATACGTGAGATAAAATTAACGTTTTGTTAAAATTAATTATTATAATATAATAAAAAAATAAACAAAATTATTAATATATGAGGATCTTGTGAAATATTTTCTTTATACTCAACACAGATGGTTATAATATGAAAAGTATACATGAAAAATATATTTTACTTTAAAATTTACCTATTCGTTCATTTTGATTATTGTTATATATTTTTAAATGTAGTTCACTAAAATTATTTTCAAAGCTTTCATGCAGATTCTACCATACTTCGTATCCACTCCATTGATCTCATTTACATATTAATTATAGACTATATATTACTATCTTCAATTCAACAATTATATACTTTAATGTTTTAAAATTATTAAATTAAAATATTCTATAAACAAAATTAATAATTTTTATGCAATCTCATTAAAATAAGGGTGCATCATGTAATTTTTATATTTAAAAGTTTTTAAAACTAAAAGACATTTAAAAGAAAAACGATAAAAGAAATCCGTCCTAAATATTTATTTAAAAATCTATTCCTCCTTAAAATAAGTATTAAAATAATTATTTATCACGTGAGAACATATCTCATAAAAAATATGTTAGAATAATTTTATGAATAAAAAATAATTTTTTAAAATAAATCTCATCGACAAAATTACTATAAATATATTTTACAATTTTCACCTCTTTAAAATAATTTTTTTTCTCTAAATATTTTTCTAAACATATATATTATTGAGAACGCATAAAGTTATCCAAAAATATATATGAACAAATATCTTTATAAACTTAAAAAAAAAAAAACTAAATTTAACTTCTCTATTGACTAATATAAATACAATTTAAAGAATATTGACTAGATGTATTTCTAAATTAAGCTAATGAAAAACTGTCTAAACATATTCCAAATAAAAAAATGGTTGTATCCAAAACTATCAACAAATAAAGAATATTGACTAGATGTATTTCTGGAGTCTGTAACAATACAAAATCCCATGACAATGGGTATGTATGCCTAGCCACCAGCCACCAAACAATTGTCCCTGTACACGCCCTAACCCTACGTTTTATACAATTGGACATCGATACAAAACCATATGCCGAGTTCCTAAATCAATCATTTTGCAGTTACCTCCCACCAGCAAAGCCATAAAACGTGTCATCTAGAAGAATTCTTTCCGGTTTGGTGAATACTTAACACAACATTCCGCATCTCAGGGAAGATTGACACAAGTACAAGTTCCAAAATTGCATAAGCAAGTTGTTTCACACATATATTAGACTAAAACACAAGAAGATGATAGAATTGTTAGTCTAGCAGAAAATTTTTCAAGCAGACAAAAGAAAAAAATCAAGCAAACGGATGAATGAAGTTTGGACCAAATGAATACAGCAATGGTTATTGGAAAGGAATTTAACCTGACTAAAGTAGTAAATATCCCGGGCACAACGTCTGTACTGCTTATGGCCGATTAGGCTGACTAAAGTTGTTGGAGCTCCATCTGGTAAGAATGGAAACTTTATAAGTCAAAAGTCTGGGGATGTAAACTCTGGCAATGCCACTGCTATTCTCAGTTACATCAACACAAGATTCTAAAGACTGTATGAAGAACATGGAATAACCATAAAGTTCAAAGACCTTCTTCAGCAACTATGCCATTATAAGTTCACCAAAAATCTCTTACGAGAATATTAACGGCCAAAAAAATCCATAACTAAATGGAAAATGAGATGTGCATCTATGTTATGTAGAAGGAAAATAAATGCATGCAGTAACTTTGTCCACCAATCCCATCTTCTCCAATCACTGTAAACTAGCAATTATCCTATCTCATTCTTAAGTGAATAGAAGTCCAGTTCGATTTGAGCAATACGTGTAATCATGAGAAGTTTAACTGTCATTCAATCTAAAAACACAACAAATTTGATTGGAATATATAAATTTATTTATTTTTGTGAGAAATCAAATAGTATTTTAGGAAAGAATAAATAAGGAAATTTGTATATTTCCTTGTAATCTGTACAGATTTGAATAATTAGGAACAATCCCATAAATCAAGAGATCCTAGCATAAAATAGAGTTATTATATTTCCTAAAATAGTTTAGGTCTCTTGTATATATCTTATATCATCTCTTTGTATTGAAATAATAAAATATCATATTTCAGTTAATCTATTTTTCAAGATGGTATCAGAGCCAAAACCTAACATCTTTCCGGTTATTGTCATGGGCCAAAAGTTGCCATTTAATTGGGTCAAAAGTACCCTTTGCCTGGTCCGGCGGGCTTCGTTGGAGGGGGTGTGTTGAAAGTCCCACATCGCCTACCTCATATCATTTGGTATGGTTTAAATACATGTTAGGCTACTTCACATATAGCCAATTGGTTTTATGTTGGAACCTTAACATGGTATCAGAGCTTCCGATCTAGGAAGCTCTGTCTGCGCTCGATAAACCCTAAGACGGTAGCCTGCATTGCTGCTGCATATTTTGTAACCCTAAGACGGCAGCCTGCATTGCTGCTGCATTTTTTTTAACCCTAAGACGGTAGCCTACATTGCTGCTGCATTTTTCTTAATCCTAAGACGACGGCCTGCATTCGTCGCTGCATTTTTCATAATCCTAAGACGACAGCACTGCATTGTTGTTGCATCACACCTTTTTGCTATAATGTCAAGGGAAGAGGAGATAGAAAGGGTGAAAACCATTCTTAGTAAGTCGGAAAAACCTACAGGTATGTGTTCTTTGGCATACTCGGGTAAGTTTCCACCTTCTTTTGGATTAAATGTCTCGAGATACGCCTTTTAACCATTATTGGATATTGGACTCGGAGCCACAGATCACATGACACCATTAGCCAAACACTTCTCCACATATTCTCCATGTCCCAAGAACAAGAAAATTGCCACAGCAGATGGAACCCTTATAACTGCAACTGGTCAAGGAAATATCCAAATCAATCCTTTAATAACCTTAAAAGACGTTTTCCATGTCCCAAAGTTATCCACGAACCTAGTGTCTATACAAAAACTTATAAAGGATTTGTCATGTAAAGTTGTTTTTTCCAACGATCATTGTGTATTTCGGGATAAGGATTCGGGGAGGATGATTGGACATGCTAGAGAATGGAATGACCTTTATTATCTCGAAGATCCAAGTCTGCTCAAGCAAGAATAGAATCTCTCACTCCTTCATATCTCGAATCCTTGATGACCAACGAGAGAAAAATCATGCTTTATCATTGTCGGTTGGGACATCCCTCTTTTGGAGTGATCAAAATTATTTTTCCCTCTCTGTTTACCAAGTTAGATGTTGAGAGTCTTCATTGTGAGGTGTGTGAACTTGCTAAGCACAAACATATATCTTTTCCAATAAGTAATAGAATTAGCAATTTCCCTTTTTATCTTGTTCATACTGATGTATGGGGACCTTTTAATATTCCAAATGTGTCTGGTACTCGATGGTTTGTCACCTTTATAGATGACTGTACAAGGGTCACTTGGGTTTTCCTACTTAAACAAAAATCAGAAGTCAGTTCTGTCTTCCTAAACTTCCACTCCATGATAAAAAATCAGTTTGGTGTTAATATTAAGAGGCTTAGGTCAGATAATGCCAAAGATTACTTCAATCATGTCCTTAATTCTTTCTGTCAAAAAGAAGGTATAATTCATGAGTCCTCTTGTGTCAAAACACCACAACAGAATGGGGTCGCAGAGAGGAAAAATGGACATCTATTAAATCAGACTCGGGCATTGTTGTTCCAAAAAAGTGTTCCAAAAAATTTCTGGGGGGAAGCTGTCCTTACAGCAACATACCTTATCAATAGACTACCCTCTAGAGTCTTAGGATCAAAAAGCCCTATGGAAGTTTTGTCGTCTTTCTATCCAAACTTGTCTACTACAAATAATCTTAAACCAAGAGTTTTTGGGTGCATCTCATATGTTCATATTCATAGTACAGACAGGGGAAAACTTGATCCTAGAGCCTTAAAGTGTGTCTTTGTTGGTTACTCACCCACTCAAAAAGGGTATAAATGCTACCACCCCCCATCCAAAAAATTCTTTGTATCTAGGGATGTTACCTTCAATGAACAAGAGGGCTATTTCCAGGGGAGAGTTTCAGGGAAGATAAGGAAAGTAGTGATTCTGGTTTTCCCATTCTTCCAGACTTGACATTTGAACCTAAACGAAATCATATTGAAAGTAGTAATTCTGGTTTTCCCATTCTTCCAGACTTGATATTTGAACCTAAACAAGATCAAATTGAAGATCAAATTGAAGTTGTAACAAATGAAACAAGTCAAGGAATTGGTCAAGCAAAGGAAGTTGGTCAAGAAAGTGAAATTAATTGTGAAGCTGATCAAGAAGATGTTGAAACTGGAAAATTTGGTAAGAAGCTGGTGTACTCAAGGAAGACTAAGGCCATTCCAGGATCAAGCCATGTTCAAGAATCCAACTCGACTCCACAAAAAGAGGTAACAATTTTTTCTCCAGCCGTGCAGGTTGAAATTGAAACCCAAAATGATCCTGACCTCCCAATTGCCATTAGAAAAGGAACAAGAAAATGCACCAAACAACCACTCTACCCTCTCTCAAATTACCTGTCCTTTAAAAATTTCTCTCCTACCCATAAAACCTTCCTAGTAAACCTAAACACTGTACTTCTACCTAATACCCTATCTGAGGCATTGTCTGACAGAAAATGGAGGCAAGCCATGGATGAAGAGATGGAGGCATTGGAGAAAAACAACACTTGGGAGTTAGTCACCTTACCAATAGGAAAGAGGCCAGTTGGATGTAAATGGGTCTATACAGTGAAATACAAGGCTGATGGATCAATTGAGAGATATAAGGCAAGACTAGTTGCCAAAGGGTTCACCCAAACCTATGGAGTTGATTATTTGGAGACCTTTGCTCCGGTTGCCAAAATGAACACAGTTAGGGTGATATTGTCCCTTGCTGCCAATTATGGTTGGAACTTGGAACAATTTGATGTTAAGAATGCTTTCCTACATGGAGACCTTGAAGAAGAAATCTATATGGAGATACCTCCGGGATATGGTAAAGATGTTGCTACCAACACTGTTTGCAAGTTGAAAAAGGCATTATATGGGTTAAAACAGTCCCCCCGTGCATGGTTTGATAGATTTACTAAAGTTATGACAGGTCTGGGTTACAAACAAAGCCAATGGGACCATACTTTGTTTTTTAAACATTCCAAGTCAGGGGGAGTAACAATATTATTGGTGTATGTGGATGACATAATATTAACTGGAGATAATAAAGAAGAGCAACAATTATTGAGTCAATGCTTAGGCAAGGAATTTGAGATCAAGACTTTGGGAAAACTAAAATATTTTTTGGGAATTGAAGTTGCCCACTCCGAGAAAGGGATATTTATATCTCAGCAGAAATACATCACTGATTTGCTCAAGGAAACTGGCAAGGCAGCTTGCAAACCTGCTAGTACCCCATTAGAACCAAACCTAAAGCTTGGAAATGCAGAAGAAGATGTTGCTGTTGAAAAAGATATGTACCAAAGATTAGTGGGCAGACTTATATATTTGTCACATACCAGGCCAGATATTGCCTATGCAGTGAGTTTAATTAGCCAATTTATGCATAGCCCAAAGGAGACCCATTTACAAGCTGCCCACAGAATTTTACAGTACCTTAAAGGAACTCCAGGAAAAGGGATTCTATTCAAAAGGAATGGTAATATGAAACTTGAAGCCTATACTGATGCTGATTATGCAGGGTCAATTGTGGATAGGAGGTCAACTACATGATATTGCACCTTTCTTGGAGGAAATCTTGTGACTTGGAGAAGCAAAAAGCAGGGTGTAGTGGCTCGGTCCAGTGCTGAAGCAGAATTCCGAGCCATGGCACAAGGTATATGTGAGTTGCTATGGCTTAAAATCATCTTAGAAGACTTGAGGATAAAGTGGGAAGAACCTATGAAGCTCTATTGTGATAATAAGTCAGCAATCAGTATAGCCCACAACCCAGTGCAGCATGATAGAACAAAGCATATTGAAGTAGACAGACACTTCATCAAAGAAAAGCTTGATAGTGGCTTGATATGCACTCCATATGTGTCCTCTCAAAACCAAATTGCAGACATTCTTACCAAGGGACTGGGCTGCCATATTCTTACCAAGGGACTGGGCTGCCATATTCTTACCAAGGGACTGGGCTGCCATAATTTTGAGAAGATTGTATCCAAGCTGGGAATGAAAAACATCTATTCACCAACTTGAGGGGGAGTGTGAGAAATCAAATAGTATTTTAGGAAAGAATAAATAAGGAAATTTGTATATTTCCTTGTAATCTGTACAGATTTTTAACATAGCTAAATTAACAAGTTAGACATTTTTTGACAAACTATTATATTACTTTTGTCAGACTCTCTCAAAACCAGTTGGTCTATGCTGGTAGGTTAGCCTGTTATAGCAAACATATGTGGAGAGAAGATGTTAGGAAGTTCCCCATTACCTGCCTTGATTTAGAGTACTATTTATATATACTTTGACAACTTTACTTAATATCAATTAGTTTCAAAATGAATTCTAATTTATTTTTTATTCAATTTGTAAAAGGTGTATATTGAAAGTGTCTAATTACCAATAACTAACCATGGTGTGTGATTACAACAAATAAACTCTTAGGTGTCGCTGCAAAAATCAAAGATAACAGGGTTTTGCTGCACTCACCTTTGATGAAAGTTGAAATATAATGAAAGAATATTAATATTATGAAATGATAGGAAAATTAACAAAGATGTCATACACGTGATACAAGTTGGGTGGTTAAAATGAAGAAAGATGATGAAGTTTGTGTGTGATCACAAAAGTATCTACTAAGAAGAAAAGTTTTGTTGTCCTGTTATACAACCAGCTGTACTTCATGGCAGTAAACCTTGAAGAGACATCACGAGCCAAAAGTACAAATAGTATAAATTAGTATGTTAAGATGGACAAGAAAGGATAAGATAGTAGAAGAGGGATATTGATGCAGCACCTTCGGAGAAAAAGACAAAAAACAATTAAGGTGGTTTTGACACGTGCAAAGAAGACCACAAGAGACACTAGAGAGGAAAGTAGATCGCATGGCTTTTAACCAAGTGAAAAGGGATAGAGGCAGATTAAGAAGGGCTTGGAAGAAAGTATTATTGAAAGAGATCTCACAGTGAACAATATGTCTATAATTTGGTTTTTAAAAAGTCAATTGACATTGTGTGATTCATGTACCAAGTTTAACCTAGTGAGATAAGATTATTGTTGTTGTATACAGGAGAGAAGATTAAATAATGGAAAACACTTGATAGTATGAATATCAAATTCATATCTAACATATTCTGAAACATGGTTGGTGATATATTTTTCTCACTCTTACGGTGAACTTAAAGTAAATGATGATTAGTTAGTTTTAATTTAGACAAAATCCATATGAAATACCAATTGAATAATAATTTTAATCAACATAGGATTCTAAAGGAAATAAAACTAACCAAACAACAGTTTCTTGATGTCACTTGCTCTACGAGCTGCCTCAAGTTGTTGCTCAAACGAGCCTGACTCAGATTTCATGAGGTTGCTTCCACCTGAACTGCTCGTTGTTTGAGAAGGTGTTTGATCACTGTCGCTATTTATTTTCTGAGGAGTCCCTACTCTTAAGAAAAACGTTCCACCTGGCCAGAGGGCCTGAAAATATGACACCGTAAAATATGAAATATTTGCAAAAGCTAGTGTAAATTATAATTTTTTTTAATCCTTTTTTTGTTATCTGATGGAGATCATTCCATTCAATCCAAATTCAAGTGGTAACTGTAAACTCATTTAAAGAAACTTCGTAGAGTATTATTAGAAAAGAAATGAAATTGGGGCTGATTAGTCTCAACAGCTGGTTCAAGGGGAAAGGATAACTCAAGTCTCAATAGCTGATGAGACAGATATTTTGTCCAATCATGGTATCTATTAACAAACAAATATTAGCCCATTGCAACTATATCCTGTGCTTTGGATGCACCATCAAACAAAAAATGGTTACTGAATCAGGCCATGGACAGGCAAGCCTAGTTTCACTACTGTTAATTTGTCTTAAAAGCTTCATTTTCTGAGTTGGCAATACAATGTCCCCTAAAAATGTTTATAATGTTTTGGCTCAATGCTTACCTCTTGGACCCATCGAATCCCTTGGGCAACAGTTTCCTCTCTCCGGAGCCAATGTATCTGTCTCACCAGCCAATCATCAATTGCATCTTCCATCACTAACTGTAATATCTGTTTGGACATCCAATAGACTTGTCTTCTGCATGAACATAAATGATAACTTAGCAAGTTGCAAGTTTTAAATTAAAACAATTTGACAGTGTCATGCCTAATATTTTGTAAAGTACATCAATTTATCCTTAGAAACAAAAATTTAAGGCATGTTATGAATGTTGAAAACTGCTGAAGGTTATTGGTCATGTACAAAAAAAAAAAAAAATGCTACCATGAGCAGCTTAATTAGTAAATTGGTCTTTTCAAGTCAGGGGGTTCAAGGAATAAAAGCTGTGAAGCGTAACACTCTAGGATTATAACAATAAATAGAGGGATTGAGAGAAGAAAGAGTGGGAGCCAAGGGGCATGGTCATCTGATGTAACAAAACAGGTAAAAAGAAAAGTCCTTGATAGTTACGGATTTAGTATTTAAGCATAAGTTTGAGAGTGTAGGCCAAAAATCTAGATAGGTTTATAACATACCAGAACCTAGGTCTCCATCAAAAGTCTTCTTTACCTTGATGAGCCTTAACTTAAATATAAAACTCATAATTATCAAGAAGAATCTTTGTTTGTTCCTGATTTCTTGTACAAGAAGAACCCAACTATTTGTGGTGTTTCTTCTCTCAATCAATCTCCACTCCCTCCTTCTAAGAAATTGGATTAAAACTTAACTCCATCCTACAAACTTAGCTTGTAAAGTTTACACCCACTTATATATTATAATCTAGTCAATATCAGGGTTTCAACACAGCTCCTCATGCTAAGGACTAGACATCTCGAACATGGCAATAGATATTTATTGGTGGTTCCTTAGAAGTTTGATAATGGGTGGCATGATAGGTCCAACAAACCTCTTTATAATAGACTCTAATATCATCTTAGAAAGTGAATTTAGGCCTAATGCAATCCTTCAAAACTAGTTTATAAAGTGAGATTTGCAACCAGTGTATTATACTTTAATTTGGTAATATCTTAAGTCATTATGAGATCTCTAATACCTATTTAGACTCTTTCCCCACATCAATTACCTTCATCTAGACTCATTTTCTACATCAAAATAAGGGAGGCATATTCCTTGAACTTGAGGCATGGTCTTGGTGTCAAGAATTTTTCTAAGTGTCGATAGCATCACTTTGGGAATGGCCATACTTTGACTAATTGAAAACAACTGTGGTCTGAAGTTTCCAAATTAGTTCAAAGGAGAAGTCTTGAAATTTCAGATTACGAAGATTTCAAAGAAAGGCTGATATAGAGTATAGGATTGAAGCCAAGTTTGAAGAAAAAAAAACTAATGTGTCTAGAAAACAAAAATCTGAGACAAGGGTTTGAAAATGAACTAGTCAGTTCATTTGATAAGTGATCCTACGCACTTCAATTCTTCAACACATTTTTATATCAGATTTCTTGATCATGAAGGGGAGATATTTATAAACAGGACCCTTGTAAATAACCACTCTTAGTTGTTGAAACATCTTAAACAATCACTCGATAACACCTATACGCCTACACATTGAAATGGAAACTAGCTCAAAGAGTCAACTGTATGTTTACAATCATATTTAAACAAAGGTTTATACATTTTTGCCAATTTTTCTTTCAATTCTTTACATATCAAGTCATTTAGTTTTTCAATTTACATTTCAGCGTTTTATATTAGCTTTCATTTAAATTGATTGGAATTTACCTTGTTTTGATTTACATTTCTAGCCATTTAACTTTCAATTGCACTCTCCTCCTTATTTCTTCATTTAAATTCAAGTTATTTACATTCTTGCGAATTTACTTATCCCAAACTTTTGAGTTTGCACATTTACATTTCAAAGTACTCAAATTTCTGCATTCTTCATATATTCAGCAGTTTAAAAATTTCAACTTGCTTCTATATTCTTTCCGCGGATTTACAGTTCTCAATTTAAATGATTCCTTCCTATTTATGCATTTAAATTCACAGTTCTTTAAGGTTGATACAATCTCTAATTTCTTTACACTTTCTTGAAATTACATGATAGGGACTTGGGTATTATAAGGTACCTAGTCACACATTGAGTAGCATGAGATGCTCCAGGGAGTATATAAGTTCTTAATTTTCTTTCCCTAAAAATAGCTTTTAAGGAAGGGATGCTCAAGTGCTTACCAGTTGCTATTAGAGCTAGTTAGTTCAGTGTCTCAGAAAGTGCTACGTACAAAGGGACTGACTAGAAAGCCTAGTGAAGTGTCATTAAGAGTGATATAATAGGGGATTTGAGTATTATAAGATAGCTTTTAAGGGAGGGTTTCTGAGTGCTTGAATGTTTATCATTACTTTACATTTTTTTGACGTAACTGCACGCGTTTCACTGGAAAGTTAAATACAGTTGAATTTACCACAAAAAAAGCTCACAAGTTTTAAAAATATATTCATTAGACTAAAAAGTGGAAGGTCATCATCAAGATTTGATTTCTAAACATATTAAGCTCAAAACATATTTCCACCGCCAACACATGGATAAGTGGAACAATCGTCAGTGATCACTATACTGGGCTTCATTTTAAAAATTAGAGGGTGCAAGGATCAGAATCTCGTTCAATTCACTATGAAGGTTTCATATCATATGAAGCAACCTCAGACTCAGAAATCGTGAGTTGCTACGTGCAATGCAAGTCTAGATATAATTCTTGCCTCTAACAACATGCAGATCACACAGTACATAAAGATAACTTGTAATCTAGAAAAACACCTTGTTAGATATGATTAGATATTAGTTGATATTGTTTGATATTGTTGAGATATTGTTAGATATTGTTAATCACAATATTAAATAATATCTTTTTATTTACTCTATTTGTATTCTGTTACTCTTTTGAGGAGTACCTTTCTTTATTATAAATACACTGCCCTATGTGTGGTAAATACATAAGGGAAATTAACCCTATACAGTTTTTCCTATATTCAACATGGTATCAGAGCCAAAACCTAACATCTTTCCGGTTATTGTCATGGGCCAAAAGTTGCCCTTTAGTTGGGTCAAAAGTACCCTTTGCCTGGTCCGGCAGGCTTCGTTGGAGGGGGGTGTGTTGAAAGTCCCACATCGCCTACCTCATCATTTGGTATGATTTAAATACATGTTAGGCTACTCCACATATTGCCAATTGGTTTTATGTTGGAACCTTAACATGGTATCAAGAGCTTAAGGTCTCTTGGGATTTTTTCGGCTCTGCCATCGAACCTGCAGCTATCGCCGCCTCCAGCGCCGCCGCCGTCGCCACCGCCGTCCGCCGCCGCCGCCGCCGCCGTCGCCACCGTCGCCAGAGTAGCAGTTCGGACCGCCGAGCACAGGGTTTTGCTCGCCTCCCCCCCGTGCGACCTCCACCGTGGAAGTTTCGCGGTCATCAGAGCAGCCACGCTCCCTCACGCGCCTCCCGAAGCCGCGCCACCTTCTCCCGTTCGGCCGCGCGTGGCGGCGCGTCTCGCCGCCGTTCGAGCCGCCGATCTTTGCGCCGGCGTCGCCTCCTTCTCCTCTCTCCGGATCTGTCCTCGCTGCTCCAATCGGACCTCTTTGGTGTTTTAGGGTTTTCTCTCTCTTCCTCCATGGCATCTTCCGCTGCCACTTCCAATTCGACGTTACCTCTGTCGGCTCCGGTGGGTCCGAGCAATCTGTTTTTACTAATTATGTCAATGTGAATTTACCCATTGATAAATTAGATGGTACGAATTATGCAACTTGGGCATCCGATATTAGACTTTGGCTTGAGAGTCGGGGGTATGTTGATCATCTTACTACCAAGGTAGATGATGTTCCTTCCAATGATCGTGTCCGTTGGAAGAAAGTTGATGCTCATATATGTATGGTTCTCAAGAATATCATCCAATCTTCTTTAAAACAAATTTTTCGATCGTATGGCACATGTTATGACGTCTGGGAACAAGCCAAATTATTATACACCAATGACACTCAACGTCTTTATGGTGTTTGTTACAATCTTCTTGATGTTATTGCTCCTCGAGATAAGGATCCTGTGGCGGATTATGTGGGTAAGATCCATGCTCTTCTCCATGAATTTAATGAGTTATTACCCCTTGCCTCGACTCCTGCCCAAGAATTAGAGCAACGATCAAAGTTTTTCATGGTTTTGATGTTACACGGACTTGCTGATAAATATGCCCCTGTTCGTGACCAGATTTTGGGTTCCCCTGTTACACCCAGCTTTACCGCTACCAGTTCCTCCCTTTGCGGGTGTCATGTAAACCTCTCAATATTCCCCCTGTAGTTTCTAATGATTCATCCGCCTTGGCCTCTCACCGTGATGATCGTAATCGCTCTCACAAGCCAGGCAAAGGGCGTGTCAAGTGTGATCATTGTGGCAAACTAGGCCACAAAATTGACAAATGTTATGCTTTACATGGTTATCCTCGCCGATCTGCTGCAGTTGCTCAGACTGATTCTTCCGCACAATCCTCTGCTGTGGATCCTCCTTCGTCTGTACCTTCGGACAAATCTGCTATCTTCAATGATTTTCTTCAATGGTATGAGGATCGAAAGCCCTCCAGTTCCACTACTTCGTTGCCCACACAGGTACATCTTTTGCTTGGTCCGACTCACTCTTCTTCTATTGGCCCTTGGGTTCTTGACTCGAGCGCCACCGATCACATCACTGGTAACAAATCCTTATTTTCCTCTTTCACTTCTTCTCATAATTTACCCTCTGTTACAATGGCTAATGGGTCTACAACTTTAGCTCATGGTGTTGGAATGGTTACTCTTTTTCCCTCGTTGTCCATTGATAATGTTTTGTATGTACCGGGTCCCCCTTTAACTTATTATCCATTAGCCGTCTAACTCGATCTCTTGATTGTGTTATCTCTTTTACCAAAACTTCGTTTCCCTACGAAACCGGAACTCGCAAAGAGTGATTGGCACTCGGATGTGAGTCACATGGACTTTATTATCTTCAACCTTCTCCACATGTTGGCACGGTTATGGAGTCTCCTTCTCTCCTTCATGCTCGGCTTGGTCACCCCAGTCTGCGCAAATTACGACAACTTGTTCCCAGCTTATCCCAGTTGTCCAATTTGGTGTGTGAGTCCTGTCGGTTAGGCAAACATAGTCGTACTTCCTTTTCTCGTAGTGTTTCTCGGCGTGTTTCATCCCCCTTTGCCTTAGTTCACTCGACATTTGGGGACCCAGTCGTGTTAAGTCTAATTTAGGTTTTCAATATTTTGTTACTTTTATTGATGATTTCTCTCGTTGTACTTGGTTATTTTTAATGAAAAATCGTTCGAGTTGTTTTCTATATTCCAAAACTTTTATCATGAAATTAAAAATCAATTTGGCGTCTCTATTCAAACTTTTCGAAGTGATAATGGCCGTGAATATCTTTCAAACTCGTTTAAACAATTTATGGCTTCTCATGGCATTCTTCATCAAACTTCCTGTGCTTATACCCCTCAACAAAATGGGGTGGTCGAGCGCAAGAATAGACACCTTATTGAAACAACCCGTACTCTTTTAATTCATGGTGAGGTTCCTCAACATTTTTGGGGTGATGCTGTTCTTACTGCCTGTTATCTTATTAATCGTATGCCCTCTTCGGTTTTAGATAACAAAATTCCCCATTCTATTTTATTTCCTCATGACACTCTCCATCCTTTACCTCTGAAGGTTTTTGGGTCTACCTGTTTTGTCCACAATTTTGATCCTGGTCATGATAAGTTATCTCCTCGATCACACAAATGTGTTTTCTTAGGATTTACTCGATCCCAAAAAGGATACAAGTGTTTTTCTCCTTCTCTTAATCGTTATTTTGTGTCTGCCGATGTCACCTTCAATGAGTTTTACTTTTACTTTAAGGACCCTTCCCTACCTGCTGAGTCTCCATCTGCTACAGTTCCCATTCCTGTTCTCATTGATCCTTATGTTGAGGACCATCCACCATTAGCCCCTCCTCCTCCACCACCCCTTCAGGTTTATAGTCGCAGACCTCGCCCACAACAGACGCCACATGACTCACACCCGGTGCCAAATACTCGCCTCCTCCGGTTCAGTCCACGAGTCCGACCTTCCTATTGCCCTTCGTAAAGGTACGCGTTCTACTCGTAATCCTTCTCCACATTATACTCGCTTTAAGTTATCATCGAATTTCTTCACCATTTTATACCTGTCTCTCGTCTATTTCTTCTGTGTCTATTCCTAAATCTGTCTCTCGAAGCCTTAGCCCACCCTGGTTGGCGTCGAGGCCATGCTAGATGAACTCGGTGCTCTTCGAGACTAGTGGAACCTGGACGCTTGTCCCATTACCATCCGGAAAATCTGTTGTTGGTTGCAGGTGGGTCTTCGCTATCAAGGTTGGTCCTGATGGTACTATTGATCGCCTCAAAGCTCGCCTTGTAGCCAAAGGCTATACCCAAATTTTTGGGTTGGATTATGGTGATACTTTCTCTCCGAGTGGCAAAGATGGCTTCGTTCGTTTATTCATTGCCATGGCTGCTATTCAACAATGGCCTCTTTATCAACTGGATGTCAAAAATGCTTTCTTGAATGGCGATTTGCAAGAAGAGATTTATATGGAGCAACCTCCGGATTTGTTGCTCGGGGAGTCTTCCGGATTGGTATGTCGTCTTCGCAAATCCTTATATGGCCTAAAACGAGTCTCCTAGGGCCTGGTTTGGAAAATTTAGCGAGCATTGTTCAACAATTTGGCATGACTAGAAGTGAGGCGAGACCACTCGGTCTTTAACCGTCACTCGAATGCTTGGATGTATCTATTTGATAGTGTATGTCGATGACATTGTTCTTACGGGTAGTGACCATCATGGCATCTCTCGGATGAAACAACACCTTTGCCACCATTTTCAAACCAAAGATCTTGGCAAACTCGGATATTTCTTGGGTATTGAGGTAGCACAATCTACCGATGGCATTGTTTTATCTCAAAGAAAGTATGCATTGGATATTTTGGAGGAAGCTGGGTTGATGAATTCAAAGCCTGTTGACACACCCATGGATCCTAATACCAAACTCTTGCCAAATCGGGGGAGCCAATGTCGGATCCTGAACAGGTATAGAAGATTAGTTGGAAAATTAAATTATCTTACAGTTACTCACCCCGACATTTCCTTTGCGGTCGAGTGTGGTGAGTCAATTCCTCAATTCTCCTTGTCAAGATCATTGGAATGCGGTCATCCAGTATATTGAAGTACATCAAAAAGTCTCCTGGAAAAGGTTTGGTGTATGACTCCCATAATCATACAAGAGTTGTCTGCTATTCGGATGTCGATTGGGCGGGATCTCCTCTCGATAGAAGATCTACATCCGGGTATTGTGTTTCCATTGGTGGTAACTTGATCTCATGGAAAAGTAAGAAACAAAGTGTTGTGGCAAGATCCAGGTGCGAAGCGAGTATAGAGCTATGGCCTCAGCTACCCGTGAACTTATTTGGCTCAAGCAATTGCTTAAAGAGCTACAATTTGGAGATGTCACTCAAATGACACTAGTGTGTGACAATCAGGCTGCTCTCCATATAAGCTCTAATCCTGTCTTTCACGAGAGGACTAAACACATTGAGATTGACTTGCCATTTTATTCGGGAAAAGATTATGTCTGGAGACATCAAGACCGAGTTCGTTAACTCATGTGATCAATTAGCGAGATATTTTCACTAAGTCTTTACGGGGACCTAGGATGGATTATCTTTGTACCAAGCTAGGCACATACGATTTGTATGCTCCAGCTTGAGGGGGAGTGTTAGATATGATTAGATATTAGTTGATATTGTTTGATATTGTTGAGATATTGTTAGATATTGTTAATCACAATATCAAATAATATCTTTTTATTTACTCTATTTGTATTCTGTTACTCTTTTGAGGAGTACCTTTCTTTATTATAAATACACTGCCCTATGTGTGGTAAATACATAAGGGAAATTAACCCTATACAGTTTTTCCTATATTCAACACACCTAAAATAAACAACATCAAAAGAAGCTACTGCAAATTGGTATAAGATTAATTTTTATTGGAAAATGTTCAGAGTTACAGACATTATTTCTAGCAGTTACTTATATCAAAGTTACAGAACAACCAGATAGACTAGTATACCTTATCCAGCCTCTTTTCTTGAGCTGAAATATGTTGTCAACCAAATCCAAAATAGGGACACTAACATTAGATGGGGTCCACTGCAAAAAGGAAAATATCAAACTTGTTAATATTCATAATATGTCTTTCAAACCAGAAAGAAAGGTTTTCATCAAAGAATGAAAAGAAGAGAAAAGGATCCTAACAATGTTCTGTTTCGTGAAATCCAGTATAAAACCAGTGCTCATTCTCTGGTTTTCAAACATTATTATTTCCCCAAGAAGGAGAGAGAAAAATTGAGTGACGAGTTACAGTGGACCACCAAGAATGTTCCCAAGATGTTTTTTTACACCAACATGTTGTTTCACGTTTATCAATTTTACTTCATGAATGAAAAAGTTACAGAAAACAATATTTTTTTAACTGTTTGGTAAATATCTGAGGTAAAAGAATATTTATGACCGGAACAAGTCTATGAAAGCTAGGATGTCTGATAATAGCTTAGCTTCTTAAAATATTTGGAGGATCACCTAGGAGCACAGACAAAATCCCAAAGAGAGGATAACTAGCTTTTAGCCAACTAATGAATAAACTCGGTAAAACTATAGAATCTTCTCTTCTTACTTTTTAAGAAATCACATTTTTTTTTTTCAAAAAGGAAGATAAATGAGAAACGGAAGTACAATGCCCTATGGTTTCCATCATGTCTCAGACTCTCAATAATAAAAGCTGTTCCCAGATGGACCAAATGGGCAGTATTCTAGTATGCATCTTAGTACCAAAGACCAATGACCAGCTAATAAATATACTAAGAACACACCAGTAAGCATCAGAACAGAGATCCAAGTTTCTCCGTCAACAACTAAAGTGCAAGATGTAAACCAGAAAGAAAAGTAAACTCAGATGACTACACAGACCTCAGGTGGCCCTCCAACTGGATCCTCCAAATTATCATTAATCAGAATGAAATTCATAACAGGAACATCATTGCCAATCCTAGCTTCTACCACCAGATCATGCTTTCTACCCAAATCCAAGATGTTGGACTCTTCATCACGGTTGTTTATTGGAGATGAGTAACCCTTTGAGATCAATGCATTGTCAGAATGCAATCCACTGTTTTGTGCTACTTCCCTAACAATATTCTCATCATCAAAATTGTTGTTCTTGTCAACTTCCTCATTATCGGAGCTTAAGACACTTTCTGCAGTACTTTGCCTTGGAATGCTTTTTTCAATTTCATCTGAATTCCAGGACAAGTTCCATGTGGTAGTAGATGTAGCAGATCCCTCACTCATGAGGGATGATGAACCTACAACTTTTCGCCTCAAACCATCTGAAACCCCTTTAAACTGGCGTACAATATCATCCATAGCATCATCTACGTTGACTGTTTAAATAAAAAATTCAAAGAATGAATTTCGAATCAACACACAAAGACAAAATTAACATCTACATTTAAAGGACCTTTTTTCAAATTAGAAATAAGTTAAAACATAACTTAGGAAGGTTGGACCTAACTAAACCACACCAAACTAGCATGTGACAAGAAGGTTGTCCTCCACTTAAATTCACTATTTCGGCCTTAGTCAATGTAGGACTTCAGTTTTTCCCAATACATCCTTTCATATCGAGTAGTATTGGATGAGTGTGTAGATAATATAGTAAGTGACTCGATAAGGGATGTGCGATAGATTATTCTCATGTCATACTAGAAAGTGAATTTAAATCTAACTCAATCTTACATATCAAAGTTGTGAAGTGAGAGTTGTCCTCCTTTTATACACACTATTTTGATCTTTTCTTTAGTCAAAGTGAGACTTTTTCCCACTACGTTAAAAACAAAGAAACGACTGGTTTTAGAATAAGAAATGACATTTTATTTTGTAACACAATCATCTTATAAGTATATACTTGGAAATCCAGTCTATATTACAAAAAATATTGAAAAGTTCTTAATGCAAAAAAATTTCTATCATCTAGGGAAAATAAATTCATTGACAGATTTATATAATAAAACACTTTTGATTTCCAATAAAAAAATCTGCAGTGATTAAAGACATAGAAGAGCCATATAACTTCAAGAAAAATATTATATCATATAATACGACACAATATATGCCTAGCCCCCTATTCTACCAAACCCAACCAAGAGAAAGGTTTCCATCTCATGGGTTTTGAGTACTCAATAGGCACGTGGATAGGCACAGCATGAAGCTTTTCTCCCACTTCTATTCAATCTTTCTTTTTGGGGATTATTAAACTTGCTTCCCCTAAGGTTAGCGATAATTACACCTAGACACCTTTTATATATTATTCTTTGGTAAAGACACCTTTTATTTTTAAAAATTGCACATATGTCCCTTGATTTTATGTACAAATCATACACAAAGTACCCTGAAAAATAAAGCAAGGGATGCGCAATAGAAGTATGTGTAACTTACAAGACAAATAAAGTATAAGTATATTAGCTGCTAACCTCAGGACAAGTCAGTATAATTAATAATTCTTTTTCTTGTTTTGCAATAGTAACCAAAAATTCAGAAGTTTAGGACTTCAAAATTTAAAAAAACAAATTTGCCTATAAAAAGTCCATTAACCTACAAGATTAACAGGAAGGGCTACCATATATAGAATAGCAACAGCCTAAGCATTTAACAGCAATATCGCATAAAACCAAACTGTTAGAATCAAATACCTGCCAAGGTCTTCATCACTGAAGGAGATTTCCCAAATGAGTAGTTCTTCAGGGGTAAAGCAGTACAAAAATAGTTTGTTAGACCATAGATTGTCATTGTCTTTTTTCACATCCAATAGTACCAAGCAAAAATTACGGAAAGGTCCCCATAAAAGGTTGTGATAAGAAATACCAAGCAGATGCTCACCTTTGAGGAAACACTAAAGAAATCCCATACTTCATGTTGTTCGGCAACATTAGCTATTGATAGGAGATCCTGAAGCAAGATATACTTATTGAAAACGTATAAAGGGAAACTTAAGAATATTTTCAGACAAGGAATAAGATACCTGGAGATATTTATCAAGTTGAATGCAACGTTGATGTACAAAAGCATCATCTGTGTTTGAGGAAAATATCCTTTTAGGAGGCAAATGCAATGTGTAATTGGGAATATCTTTAAGATGCCGATGCAACCGCTCAAAATTCCTATATCTGACATCAAAACAAAATATGGTTAGTCAAACCACAGATATAAAAGATGGTATAAAACAATTTTAAGATTAAAGGTAAAGATATTTATTCTCTATGATGGAGTAGTTTAAACTCAATAGTGGAAAGAAAAATGAGACGATAAAATACAATTTAGTGATTCTTGCATTTTATTTTATGGTCAGAACTTAGAACTTCAAACTTAAAAAGTAAAAAAAATTACACCTTGTATAATTAAATTGTCCTTTAAATTTTAAATACCAAACAAAGATAAATTATTCACAACTGCTATTATAAAAAGTATGAAAGAAATAAACCTTCTTTTTACAAACCAAGTTTTATTTTGTGTATCAGTCACTGCAATTGAATAAACTGCAAAACATGTGGAGCCAAGTTTCTCAAAATATGCTCCCAACACCTGCAATATTTAAATAGACAAAAACAACAATCAAGTACGGACAGAACTCAAATTCATTCTGGTGAATATACCAACTCACTAAAGACATTCTATATCTATTAATAATACTTCTCTATTACAGTCAAAGCGCATACCCGGCACCGGAGCTTAGGAACTAATGGCCCTTCTTTCCTAACAATCATGTCAGAAGAACTTTTTCCCTGATATCCTTCACTGTGCCTTTCAAATTCAGGGTTGTAAAATTCTGAAATTATGGAGCCTCCTTTATTAGTGAGGTTTCCTATGGAAGAAGAACTATTTGACCTCTTTAGTGGACTTTTATACTTGTCAGTAGCAAGGTCTTTCACAAAAGATAATTCCTGGTAAGGGTTTTGAGAAGATTCTGGATTTTTTGCATTTGCAACATTTTGTAGGGGATCTGAACCCAAGGCACGCAATGTTCGAAGAGAAGACTTCCCCTCTGAAACTTCATACTTTCCACCTTTACTTGATGATGTTTCCGGAGCCAATTTTCTATGAGGCAGTGAATTGTCTGTAGAGGGACTCTTAGCAGGAAGGTCCTGAAAGCCAGCTTTGATAATTTTGTTCTCTTTCCTTTTGTAATTCCTTCCCTTTGTCCACATGTTCTCAAGATTCTCAGGCATAAGAATTTCAGTTCTCCTCTGAGTTGCAACCTCCAACATCCGTGCCCAATCAGCAGACCTGGCCGGTAAAGATTCTTGATGGAGAATGTTACCTTGCAATGATGTCCCTGCTTGGTCACTCATTTTAGCCAATATCATATCAGTTCCTTGATTCAAAGATGGATGCTTATTAGAGGCTGTGAGATTGTTGTGTCCACCCTCACTGACAACAGAATGTCCATGATGGTGACTTAATACATTAGTTGACTGATTACTGCCCATACCTTCCGTACCATCATCATTAAGGAGAAGTAGAAGAGATTCAATCAGTTCATTAATATACCTGGTCATCAAGATAAACTACTATTATGAAGGGGCATTGCAAAAATTATGAAGCAATGCAGTTAAAATGCTACTCCAATTTTTCCAATCTTGTTGATGACTGATAATATAATATATTTATTTAAGAAGCAAATGCTCTACAATATTTGTGCATAGAATGTTTTCAATTGTCTCAGTTAAACCATATGCTTTACCCTTTTAACTCTGCATATAACAAACAATGACAATAATCTTATCCTAATAGGTAAGATCAACTATGCAAATCACACAAATGATATTTAACTCAATTAACAACCAATTCGTAAGGATATTATTCACTATGAGATTTCTTTTAATAATTTTCTCCAACGTACTTCATGGTCTATCTCTACCTCTTTTCATAGGGTTAAAAATCATACAATTTACTCTCTTTATCAGTGCCTCCAATACCTTCTTTGCACCTTACACAATTTTGTCATTTTCTTAGAAAGTATCACACAAATTTCTTCTTATACAATCATTTTGTATCCTATGCCCCCTTATAGGAAATCATGATATAAACTTATCCTTATAGGGAGTCCTTAGTCTTGTCTCCAAAAGTTTTCATACTAGCTATCACATTATAATGTGTTGTATAGATAAAATATCAGTCATGTGAATACCTTTCTTTCCCAAAGTCATCCTCTAGGCACTGGATCACTTGTTTTTTCTAAGTGAATAAAACCATATGTAATCCTTCCTTTGTTGCACTACCTTTTCCATCATCCCCCATACAAGAAAAAGACCTTCCTAACACCAGTCCAAATTGATTCTCCACAAGCCTAATCTCTTTTCTTAATCTATGCTCAATAGCTGTTTTTTATAATTTCACAGTATAACTCATAAGTTTTATCCCTTCATAGTTTATACAATCTTGAATGTTTCTTTGTTCTTATATATAGAAACCAAAGAGCTCCTTCACTCATCATCTAAATATCTCATCAAGTAACTTAGTCAACCAAACGGCACAACAAGACCAACAACAATACCATTATTCAAGTTGTTAAGAGCTTCTTTCACCTCTCCAACTTGAACTCCACAGTAGTAAGCTTTTTAACTCTACATATAAATCTTTAAATTTAGAAATAGCTCTTCGATAAAACAAGAGCATTTAACATATTAAAGATGTGGAAAACTCAAATAATTGTTTAAAAATGGAAACACGATGATTATTATGGTTAGTATATGTTAGACTTCATAAAATCTCATCTAAAGTGCTAATTCCCAGGTAATATATCCTTTTTCATTTTTCTTGCATACTTAAAGACTAGTCACTCAACCTATTGACTCCCTTAAATCCCATAATATTTTCCTCTTGACGTATGCTTAGACATCCAGATTATTTTGAACATGCTTGCCACTGTCCCAATAGCTACCCTTTCATTTCTCAGCTTTCAACCTTATGATTCATAACCTCCTCACTTTTTTTCTAGTCCAATAGTTTTAAATCTACAACTTCAAAAGCACAAAATACCATAACAAAACAAAGTCTCTAAACAATACATTCTTGAGATAGTAGAAGGTGGGCAATAAATGGGTCATAACACTATTTGAAAAATCATCATCATTCCGCTTCTATTTTGCACCTTCCACTGTCAACCTCTACGAAAAAAAAAAAAAAACTTTTTTTCTAAAAACCACACAAAACTTAAAATCTTGAACAGAGCAACCCTAAGAGTAGATACTGTTATTATCCACTGGACCACCTTTCAAAAAATGAATTATAAGATAAAATATTCAGCAACATACCCAGGGCTTGCCAAATTCATAATAGGCTGCATTACCAAGCAAGTTACAAATTCTCGAGCCACAGAACGAATCAGCGGACACTGAGCTTCTCGTTGTCTTAGTACTGTAGCTAAAACCGCACTCATTAGCTGCTGAAGAACCTGACAAAGAGAGCATTCATTAGATAGATAGAAGACATATTTCTCAAAAAGAAATATATATAACATCAGAACACTCCACTCACACCTTGTACTCACTCTCAGGAGATATTAGTGCTGGATGTAGCTCCTTAGAATTCAGTAGATGGAATTTTAATCTGTCATCCCTCTCCTCAGAAGATAATGTTTTCATCACATCAACACCTATTGCAGCTTGATTTCTTCTGAAAAGTTCTAAGTGATCACCTACTAAATCTACTAAATCCCTGAAATGTAAATGAAACATAAGACAATTAGTAGTTTTTATAATACTTTCCCTGGCAGTAAATACAGGAGATGGAAAACCTGATACCTTGTCAGCAAGTCAACCAAGTTTATCTCTTTAATCCTTCCTGATATTTCAGCTAGAACATCCATGACTATTGCCCGAATTTGCTCTGGAAACTCCTTATCTGGAGTAATATCTGAGTACCACAAATCCACAACGAAATCCTTCAAAATCTTATCAATGAACTCTCTCATTGCAGCCTCCACGACAGGAGAATCAATTTTTCTCTTCCATTTCGCAGGGGGAGGTAAACTAGTAAGGCGTGGATCATTCAGAGACAACTGTTTTTTCTCCAAATGAGATAAGTAGGTTTGTGGTCTAGGCTGTTGAACCTTCCAACGGAACTCCACCCGATTAAAAAGAGTACGCAGCCCCGCAGCAAATATGATTGACATGGGTACATTCATCCACATTGATTTACTTGTATCTACAACACATAATCACCATACAAAACATAAGTACGAAGAAAAAAAGAAAAGTAGGCCCATTAAATGACAATCATGTATTAACAAAAACAAGATCAAAGGTCATAATTATGAGAAATCCATAAACAGCCACTTTAGACAAAACCCAGCAAGTTACACACTTACAAACAGAACATATAATACAGAATCATAGTGAGTTCAGTTCATCTATAAAACTCCAATTCCACACTAATAAGCATTGCCAATGAGCTCAAGCAGCATTAAAAAAGACTAAGGAAGCAAAATTGATAAAACTGGAGCTACTGATTCCAAAAAAATAACTCGAAATTGAGAGTGGAAACGAGATTAATTCACTAATTTCACAGTATTAATATACTAAAGTGGATAAACTCAGATGAAATCAAAGGAAATCAAAAGAAGAAGGAAAACTTACGAGTTAGAAAATAGGAAACGGCGAATATACAGAGGGCCCACCAGAGAGTGCGGAGCTTGGCCTCTTGGATCAGATCATTCACACTCTCCATGCCCCCGACCACACCGATTGGAACAAACAAATCACCCTCTGTGTTCTGTTCCGTTCACACTTCGATTCCAATTCGATTCCTTCTCGGGTTTCGATAAACAACAAAAACAGCTGGAATTTGATATCCCCTAACCCCCACCACCAAACTGATGAAATTAAATATTTATGAGCTGGTCACTCGCACAGGATTATCGATCGAAGCTAGCTATGGAAAAAGAAAAAGAAAGAAGATAAAGTGCTTAACATATGGTGAAGATCCTGGGACTATCTTTTGGAAATTGCAAGTCCACGATGAATCCATGCTGTTATCGATTATAATTATTATTTATTAGGCTGTTGTGTTTACTTTTTTATTTTTTTTAATTAGGATATTTTCTCGTTTTGAATTTCAGTTATTAACTAGGATCCAAACTCTTTCAAAGACTAATTTTATCTTTTTCTTATCCACAGTCACAACAAACTAATTATGCTCATCAACTGGATCATTATAGATAATTAAATTCATGATTAAGCGTTCAATAAAAGTGTTTAGTTCAAATTGAATAATTTTGTATCGTTTGGTTCAAACACTTAATGGTTTTGTCTCTTCTAATAAGATGCTTATAATACATAAGATTATGAACATCATTTTTTTTCTTAGAAAGTATAAACTTTGTTATTATTTTTATTAGATATATATATATATATATATATATATATATATATATATATATATATATATATATTTTATCATTATTTCTTTGGGCTTCTACAAAGTGTGTGTCACCGAGCTCTACGGAATCGAAATCTGAAGATATTAATAAACTGTTGGATCTTATATTTTAAAAAATATTAATATGAAAAATTATGAAAGAAAAAAAAAACAGAATTAATAACTGAAGGAAAAGAAAATCACAACAGATTATGTGGTGTGTAATTATTATTTTTTACAATATTATTGATAAATATTTTCATATGATCTACATTAACTTTAAAATAAAATAATTTTAATATATATAAAAGAGATCTTTCTCAATTTCCTCAAGCATAAACATTACTTGGCGTTGGGATGTTTGAAGGAATTTGAATCTCTTCTCTTGGTTATCTTTAGGTTCTAGTTTGAAAGATTCTCCAATTTCTTTTTTAAAGATTTCGTTACGTTGTAACGAAGAGGAGGACGCATTTTCGAAAAATACGTTGATTTTATTAATGAGATCAAAAAATTTTAATTTTATCAAATATGTTTAATCAAGTGAGACGAGACGAGCTCACAATAAAATCATTAAAAAGAAAAATTGTGAGAGAGATTTTAGTTGTATAATTTTTTTAAAATATATTATTTTTTATTATTTTTGTTTTCAGTTGAAAATTTGATCGATTTCGATTAAATCGAGACTTAGATTCTAACTAAATTTTAACCACGTAGATTCTTTTTATTTAGAGCTATCAAACGGTTTTCAATCGAAAAATGCATGAGAATCGAAAATCCCATGGTTTCAAATATGTAAACCACACAACTTAGTATGCAAATCGAAGTCCTATTTTTGGTATTTTTCATTAAGAGACACGAAGTAAAGAAAACGAGTACAAAAAACATGTCGAATCGAAAGATAGTGCGAGAATATAAAATTGCGGAAGAATGTAAAGTGTGGAAACCTCAAATTTGCATTAAGTGTAAAAGGCGAGGAAATCGAAATTGCGAAAATGTAAATAACAAGAAATCAAAATTGCGAAATGTAAACAACAGGAAATCGAAATTGCGAAATAGAAGCGGCGAGGATCTTAAACGCATAACCTTAACTTGCATAAAAATAAATGACAAGGAATCTCAAGTGCAGAAACTTAAAGTTGCATAAATGTAAACTGCATCAAAGTAAATTACATAAACACAAATTACCAGGGAAAGTAGAGAAAACGATAAAGATAATAACTTTTTCACTTGCGCTTCTGTTGTCTCTGCCAATTTCCCCCTTTCCTTCATTCTTTGCTCTATTTATAGAGCGCCTTTCAAGTAACCTCCTAAGAGTAGTTAACAAAACTGCCACCACGATCCATCATGCACGTCCCTCAGTTCCACGGTTTAGAAAACTATATTTCATGTTCCCATGCATGAGATAATCGCTCCCTTGACCTTCGATCTCTGTCACGGTTTAGAAACCGCTTCCCATGTTCTATGTGCGCATTAACTGTTCCTCTTTTTCTAACTTAGCCAGAATTTCGATAGTCATGTAGGTTAGCCTTTCCCTCGATTTCGATGCCAAATTTCGAGAACTTTGACCTTAGCCAGAATTTCGATAATCATGTAGGTTAGCCTTTCCCTCGATCTCGATTCTAAATCTCGATTCATGTGTCCATATTTACATGGTCATCAAATGTTTTCCAACCATCTTTTCAATTTATCAGTTTTTAACCAATCATATGATCCTCGATTTTTTCTTTCTTTCGTTTTTCGATCCCTTTATCAATTTCCCACTAACAAAATGGCCCCTTGGAAGAATATAAATATTAATTTTTATTTTATATTCTTTCAAAATGATTCCCGCCTTTGAACGTTTTGGAGGCCCAAAATACTTTTAGGGTTTAGGTTTCTGGGGTTTTTCTAGGGTTTCTTGGCTTTATGTCACATATCAAATCACTCTGTTGTCATAGTGCACACGCCACATTAATTACCCTTCGCCTCCGTCGCTTCTAATACCCTAGTTGGTTTCTTTTAAACGTTTGTTAGCCTTTTTACCCTTGTTTTTTACCACGAACTTAACTCGCTTCTCCTTTGCACCTTCATCTTCTACTTTTCGTCTTCATCTGCTCTACCGATTGAAATGGCGACCTCATCCAAATCCTCTGATTTCTCCACCCCACCACTTCCCTCGGTGACCTCTAACCTGCTGGAGATTAATGGACAGAAATTTGCTCCAGTCCCTCTGATGGAAGAAGCTTCTCAAAACATTGCTGAGACACAGGTACTCATTCCTTACATTGCTGATAATGTAAATTACGCTTTTGGAGGTCCTATCCGCTATTGTGGCGGATCATTTCTTTCTTCCCTCAGCCTCTCAGAGAGTAAAGCTCTTATTCACAAGCTTGAGGTGCGAATTGATTTTCTGAGCATTGTCTCCAAAGTGTATCGAACAAATCCTCCCCACAAAAAACCCTTGTACATTAGGTGGTTTGACCGGGTTAAAACTAAGTTTGGGAACCATTGGAGAGATGTAGGGATCTTCGATTTCTTACATTTGTCTCGATGTGATTTATCATTTTTAGATATGGCTATGTTTTTGTCTGTCGTCCATCTGTGGAATAAAGATTTGCATGCTTTGGAACTACCTTGTGGTCCACTTTCACCCACCCTCTTTGAAATTGCTGCAATTACTGGATTAAAGCCTACAGGGGAGAAATACTATAAGAGGGTTTTTCCTTCGAATAACTCTTTAAGGTCGAAAATTGATTGGGAATCGAAGGCCTATGGGCATTTTCTCGAAAAGCACTTCGTCGATGATCAATCAGTAGCTATGACTGATGAAGAGCATATAGTCTTTCTGGTGTATTGGTTATGTACCTATGTCTTTTACCCCCGATCCATCCAAATTTCATTCCACCTCTATAACCTTGCCTATCTCCTTCACACTGGCCAACCTAGGATTTGTTTGGCAAAACTTTTATTAGCCCATGTCTATACTACTTTTGATGAGGCCGTCGATATTTTGAGTACCCCAAGAGCCTCAGAAAATTTTTCAGGTCCTATTTGGTTTATTCAATTATGGCTTACCTCAATTTTTGAGAGTATCCTCCTCCCAACCTCCAAAATCCCCCCAAGTTTGAGTTTAGAGGGTGCTCGATTATCTTCTCGACATCCCCACTACAAATCCGACGAGGCTAGTTACCGAAATTACCTACAATTTTTATTGACCCGCTTTCATTTTGATTCGAGTTTTGCCCCTTTCACTGTGTATCTTGGACAAATAAGTGACAAACTTCAAGGGCCAACATGGTTTAGATCGAAATTTCCTGCTTTTACTCCCGGGCTACAATCGGAATTGGTCGAAGTATGGAGTAATTACCTAACCCAAGATGTTCTGGTATCGGGTTTCCAATCGAAGGATCTCTCAACTCATCACTTATTACCCCCAGCTTTTCTCGCGGCAATTTGGTTTGAGTCAATCCTTACCCTTTTTTCCCCTCGATACCTCCTCAAGGTCCAAATTAAGTGAATCGACTGTTGGACGGGAGCTCGCCAAACTGCTGCCAACAAACCCGATGCACTTTTACCCTTATATTTTTTAATCGAATTATTTATCTACTCTTGGTTTCTCTCAGTGGTGGACCGATTGGTTTTCAAATGTTCATTCTGATTTTGACATAGTCCAATCAAAATTGACTGCTCATCCTTCTCTCGTCTTGCAGGACAAATCGAAGGCGAAGAAAGGTACATACTCTCACTATCTCCATATATCTCGATTCGAAATTTTTTATCGAGTATACTACAACCCCTTGAAATTAGAATCGACCTTCTATGATGTTGTTATTTCCTTAGTCAATAAAACAGACACTAATCAATCAAACCACTAATAATCAACCCTCGAGGCAAAACCCCATTTGAAATGTATTGTCCTAATCATCTTCCCACTTTCCCTTCAGCCCCTTTTGGACTAGCCAAACCTTTAACTCATCCTAAATGGGTTCGAGCGTTAAGATCCCTGAAAGAAACTTTTTACCCTAAACCAAAAAACAAAGAAATTTCGATATCGAAATTATCCTACTTCCCTTACCTAAATCTCCCTCAATCTCTTCTTCCTTCCTGGCTTGTACATATCGACCGAGTCAAGGTTTTGACTCCATCACCCTTTGGTGAGATTTTTATTGCCTCTTTTAAGAATGTTTTCAATCTTTTTCAAATTGTAATCTAACGGTTTTCCTTTTTTCGATAGTTTCGAAGCCTTCTAAAACTGTTGCCTCCGAGAAGGACTGGGAGTCCTCGGACGAGTCAGATCCCTCGGCCCCCACTAAGAAACGCAAGCATTTTGC